TTGTATGGTAAGGACGCGCGGCGTCGCTTAAGCCTTTCTTATTGAAGTAAACTTCGGCATTCTGACTGAGATTTTCTGTTAATTCGTGTACTCGGTCACGAGTATAGCGCCTTTTTGGATCACCTGTTTTGTGCACGAGACTAACCTCTCGGTACAAGTATGCATTGAGAAGCAGATACGAATAAATGCACAGTGTGATGTTCGACAAGGTTGCTCATTAGAGCGGTTATTTTTGCGCAGTGTCGTTAAAAGACAAAATTATTGTGATCTTCAATGTGGCTCGCATCTTACCGGGGTGTGTTACAGGGTAGGTATTGTGTAATGTAATCGTCTAAGCTTACATCTTCTACATTTGATACGATTTTCGAAATTTTATATTGACCTTAGGTGTAATTGAGAATATTCTTAGTGCTATGGAGGACGACTAAGAAACTCCGTGAAGAGGTCCATGGTGCACGTGAGTTGCTAGCCACACACTTCACCATAAGGATAGTTTTATCGTTTTAGATAGAAATGGACATATTCGGAATAAGTCAAGGTAGAATGTACCTGACTATATAACCGCTTGAAGTCGCCGAGCAGATGATATTTTGCGGTCGAGACTCTCGGTTCCGCTCTTAGTTGAAGCCTTCTTGGAGCATATTTCATTGCCAAAAAGCCTTTTGCTGTGAACAGGGTATTCTTTTCTGCTGGATTCGGCTAACGTGATTGGAACGACGCATGCCTTTTTTGGTACTTTTTTAGCAGTAAGACACAATCGCTTGTAAACTCAGAAGCGTCACACAACACGCTATACGGCTTCGTATCATCTGGTAGAGCAAGTAATGGTGCTTTATTAAGCTGTTCTTGATTTGAGTGAGTATTTCTTCACAAGTGAATGACCACTCCCATGACATGTCCTTCTTCAGCAAGTTTGATAGTGGGCGTACCATTTCTGCGTACTTACGGGAGAAGCGATGCAGAAAATTGGACAAACCAATTCATTCTCTAAATCCTTTTGAATTTGTACTCCCTCATCAAGATTTGATCACATCAGTTTACCAAATCAAATACACTAACTTGAGTACAGCCGGTCATACGATTTATGATGGCGTCCTTACGCGGATTCGGCATTTGCGCAGAAATTGGATACGTGTTTAGCTTGTTATAGGCGTGATCGATACGTCATTTACCATCTGGGCACTCACACAAAGCGTCGGTGCGCTTTGAGGAGACTTGCTCTCTCTCTCACCAAACCAGCAGATTGCATTTAAGCAAAGAACTCTTCGCTGCACTCAGTTTGATCACACGACAGTGATCACTGTCGAAACATTGCTTGCTTCGAACCAGTCGAGTCGAACTCCACGTTCGGGTTGAAGACCAGAGGGCTCGTACTAATGACGTCATCTTTGCATTCCATGACAAGCAAGAATAAGGATCAGGTGGGTCCTTCAAAATAACCGATCCCATGCGTTACTCCACACGCTGTCGTAACTACTCAAGAACAAAGCATTCATAACTGATGATGAGCGTTATTCCACTGAGTCGGCCTTCGACTGTACCAACACGACCTATATCATCGCACTTGAGGTCGTGTAGGATGTCGTCGTAACTGATTTCTTCGAGCTGCACCACCTATTCCATCGTTGGCAATGGTGTAGAAAGAACATCTGTTCTGGTGACTTCGCAACCAGTCGTTGCATCCACAATACGTGGACCAGCATATTTGCATGCTATATTTTCACTGTGGGGAATAGTATGCTGGACTAACTCACCCGCGGACTCAACTGCATCCAGAGCGAACTCGATCGACAAATTTTGCTGTTTTCTTCACATGTGTGTGCTAAACCACACAACGGGTGGGAGCATCAACTCTAAAGTCAATTGTACCCACTAGCCCACGATTCAGCTCAACCCCTGTATTTGTGAAGGTATTGGTACATCTAGCCACAGTCGATTACTTTGACTTTCCATTATTCACTTGTCAATAACATTCTTCTGTCTAGATGGGGGGCAAAAACCGGCATCTCTCCTTCAGAAATTCTTTCTGTTGAAAAATCACCATGACCACTAACGATTTTTTTGTTTCAAGTGGCCAGATCCGGGCACCACTTGATCTATCGACACAGTTCCTGAATTACCATGCGTGGCCACTCCATACGACTCCGTATATTTCCTAGTAGGAAAAGTCAATTGCATTACATGTATTAAAGAAGTGTAGATCAGTTCCAGCAGCATAAGTCTGTCGAGCGCTTGAGTGCCTCTTCTGGTGCATAGTGAAAGCGGTTTCATTACTTTTTACCTGCACCAGGAGAGCTACTTCAAATCATTTCAATCGCCAATCAAACCATGCCTCATGCTTCTCAAGCCACGGTATACCTAAAACCAGGTCGTACCGTTTGTCCATCTCGAAGATTGTGCATTTTTCCTTTGAGTTGAAGTCTCCAAATTTCAGTTGAATATCAGCCATGATTTTCTTCTCGGTGACCGCCGCACCAGTGGTCAACCTTACTGAGATAAAACCACTGCTTCTATCTAGTGCATTCGAAAGCATTGGGATCATCTTCAGCAAACACTTTGTTTCCGCGCGTAAATACTCGACGCGCTTGAATCATTTGATGACCGTAACCTTTCACACCCGATGTGACCACGAGGATACCACTCCGACTCGTGTCGTTAACGAAGGACAACGATCCTTCAAGGGCCAAACCCTCGTAAGTAGTTCTACCACCACACCCACAAGAGCTTTTTATTGCCCCAGTAGACCGCCCTGCATCATAGGTGCTCCGGCGTTTCCCAAGCGCATTGTGTGTATTGGTACTACGTGACTCGTGACAGTTTGCGACGAGAATCGTATTATAAAGATTCGTCTCACATGCGGGCAGTCACTGTGGATGTGACCGAGCTGTTGACATACGTAACAGCGAATTTGCTATCTGCAGATAGTCACCGCGCTAAGATCCGTTGATTTCGGTAGCAGCAGTGATGCTCAAATCGCATTGACCGATTGGGCACATGCTTGACGCTGAAAGCAGTCCTCACGCAATCCAATCATAATTTCGTTTTCCAGAGTCGTCGGGCCATAGCGGAAGGGTTCAGACTTAGAAGGACCATGATTGGATCCCTTCATAAACATGCTGACCATCACTGGCAGTGGCTCCCATGCCATACTGGCACGAAGCTCACGGAGATTCTGTACATAATCGCACAATGTACAACTGTCTTGACGGCAAGACAAAAACTTCGACCGTTGTCAAGACGCCACTTTCGGTGGAAAGAACATCGATTCTGTTGCCTTTTCAACTCTTGCCATGTGGCAAAGTAGTCAGGGCGGTTGTTTTCCAACGTCATCGCCCAGTCATTCGCATTACCATCCAAATGCGACATGGCAACGGCAACTTGACTACGGTCGTCACAAATTTGAGCCATCATGATAGCGATATCCATTTCTTGTTGCCAAAACGCAGGATTTATATCTTGGTTCCCGTGAAAGGTTTTTACCTTGATTTTCACGGGATGTTCCGAGTTTACCGAAGGTGTCACCATCACTTGTCACGGAGGTGACGGAACCGTTGTCAGTAAATTTTTTGATAGAAATCCCGAGAATCCTTGCTTATACGCAGCAAAATTTGCTAGCCGTTGAGTTATCGCTTTTTGATCCAATTGGCGCATATCGATGACCGCGTTATCTCCGATTGAAGCTCGCAGCTTTACTGCACACTCCCATTGTGAGTGTGATAGGAACAGATATTCCTCCCTGTTGATCTAGCGATGATCACCGCCTGTGGTGTCCCCTTCATCTATTGATAAATAAAATTTTAGCCTCCCTAACCTGATAAGTACTTCCAGTGCTGATATAACAGAATTGAAAGGGGATATACAACTATAGTGGGTGCACAGTTGATGTTAGACACACAAAGTAGGTGATAATCCCTTACATTCAGGAAGTATTTTGGACGCGTGCGATGCTTTAGGATATGAAACACGAATGAGTGTAAGCAACACAAGCATACGAAGTCAACCAAGGAGCAATCGCATTAGTCAACAATCCTGTATACCATGCTCGAAAACAGCACGTGATCGTTCGTTACCACTTCATACGCGAAAATGTCCAAAAAGAATGTTGAAGATGAATATTGACTACATCGACACGATGCGTCAGCTTGCAAATATTCTGACAAAGACACTCGGAATCAAGATTTTGAATTTTTGTATTCTTACGCGAGGGAGCGGGTATCAAGACCAAATCAATACCTAGGATCAAAAAACAGTAATGACGAAAGGAAGTGTTGAAATTACGCCGCTCAATACTGTTGGAGAACGATGTTGTGGCTATATATCCATTATACACGCATAAGTAATTCATGGTGTTCATAAAGAATCAGATTAGCCTAATGGTTAGCTCGTCGTAATTTCGCTTTCATAATTAAAATCAACTTTTCTAAAGGGTATAGATTAATTACACAGTGTTTCAAATTCCTTGCGGGGTGCCTAGTCAGTACAAACGCCCCCTCGTCATTTTTAGTGTTGTAGTAAGCATTGTATTTTTATTTCGGCAAAGTATTCCGATGTAGATTTGGCAATGTGAGGGTGTGAAAGATACAGCAGCATGATGTACTTCGTGTTTTACCATCAAATTAACAGTCGTCCATGCTCGGATGCTTTTTGTTTTCGATCGCGGCATTGCATCAATCCAGTTTTTATTTATAATGCTGTGACAGTGATAAGCAAAGTTCCAACTACCAATTCAGCTACCACAAGAACAATATATTTGGCTGAATAGTGGTGCTGATAAGGATTTGGTCATTAGATCTTCGGCTTCACCAAGCTTTTCGGATTTGTATTGATAGCAAACCTATTTTGGCTTGAATGATGCTAATTTTTTTGCTACGTTTGCCGGACACATTTTTGAAATCTGGATGAGTGATAGAAACACAATAACTTCTCGATAAATTTATTGTAGTAACTTTGATTCAAGAATTTATAATGTTGATGATTGTATTATAGAGGTACTTACTGTTTCAGAGTTTTTCATCATTTTTATCCGAATCATACCCATAGACATTAATATTAAGTTTGGAACAACTTTTGATCTCATCCATTTGATATTCTTCATCATAAGTTTTGTAGATTTGAATCAGGTATTCAATGTTCTCATAGTCACCACATTGTTTAAATGTCTGCTATAAGGGATAATGAGCCTTCTAAGATCCTTCGTCTTATCATGTGAGTAGTAAGCAACACAAGACAACAGACTTTCATTTCTTTCGACGTATCCACTTATCTTGATCTTTCCAACATAATGCTTTCTGAACAATATCAGTAAACATGTAGTATAAAACATCAATTCTGTCATTTTTCTGTTTGCAAAGCATGATAGGTTGTCATCGTACCTGGTAGTATGTTGTGAATGGTAATAATTATAGGGCGTTGGGTGAGGGTTGTGGTGCTATTTAGATGATTATACATTGATGTACATGAGGACTCTCGTTGTGCTTGGTAGTCACAATGACATCACTTGCACACAGGTGAGCCAAGCTGGCAAAAGACGTTGTCGTGGAACCTATTGGTTGCGTATTGAACAGGAGAAATGTAACTGAAAGCGAAGAGGTGAGCCATCGTAGTCAGACAGACTGCATATAGTACAATGTCATTCTGATCGAACGCAAATTCTAAGAGACCGGTAATTCGTTCATTTTATGAACTTCAGATGCGCTGCCAATTTTGGCCGACAAGTGTAAGGTGCCGCTGCATGCAGCAAGGCTTTAAAATATTTCGAAACGTTTTACAGGCGCACATAGTATGCTCATAGATGTTCAATGTTGGGTCATCAATATATAGCGCTTACCGGGCAGTATATCTTTTCTCTTTCAAGGTGACAACCGAATAGGGCATCATGTCCCCCGTACAGCTTTATTTACTTACGGATTTTATCGAGCAAAACCACCCCACGATGTATGTTGGGCGGGTATGAGCTGAAATACAGCAAGCTTTGGGAAAATCATAGCAGCGTAAGCGTGCCATCGTGCATTTTGATAAAGCTTTGTCTCGGTTTCTTTGCTTCTGCTTCTCAAAGCTTTCAGCAGCGCAAAAAGTGGTTCCCCTGACCGTTACGCTGTACGTATCCCTGGCTGTACGTATCCCTGGAATGTCACATTAATGTGAAGCAACAACGCAACCATCACCGCAAATACCTCATTCTAAAAGTGTACTAGGCAACGAAGGATAAAATCATCGTGCCATTTTCTGTGAGAGATGTGGTGATGACATCGCTGTGGGCAACGACGCATGATCTGAATAGATCACAAATAGCTTCGAGCCAAGCAAGTTTGCTCATGTTTTGACAAGGGATCTCTTTCTTGCAAGTTGCACTGTATCATTAACAGGAAGAATAGTTCATCTCTGCAATTTAAAATAGAAAAGATCAAACACTATCAAGCGTTCATGGCCATTCGTGTCTGCTCGGAGTAAATTGTAGCCCATTGCAATGGATAAAGTGTCATAGACGACGTCTAATTATCGATCTTGGGCTCGGAAGAGACAGATCCGATTCATGCGTGATTTTCTTTCACAGACTGAAAGTTCGCCTCGTCTGCCACACCCAGCATCATTTGACACCTTTTCTAGAAGAAATTTGGTGGGGTCGGAATAGATTGCATGGGTGGTGCAAGTAGTAGACCAGAAGAAATCACCACGTCATGTTATTTTTGAACAGAAACACTAGCCAATCTAACATCCTTGATCTTTGCGGGATCGACTCACAGGCCATGCTCACTAATGAAGCAACCCAGAAAAAAAATGTCGCCGGCGCCATAAGCACACTTGTCGAAGTGGATGCGCTTTTCTTTGCGCATCCACTCGAGCGCAGCTCCAAAATGTCTGACGTAATTCAGCACATCCGACCTTCGATACTTACACGACCATGGACGAAGATATCGTCGGAATACGTTTGTGTATAATCGCGATGTGGTGTGTACAGCTGTGTTGCGGACGATTTGATGTTGCTGGTGCACTAGACGTTCCCTGCGGGATAAGCAATCACTCTTTGAGATTCCTGCTCGTAGTCATCACCGCATTGAGAAGAGAATAATTTTAATAAGCAATTGATGTGAATAATAAGCAATGAATATTGAATAACGAGTTTTCATCCTGATAAAACATTTGCGAGTACGTAGACCTCTTCGACAGCCAAGACGTTTTCATCTTTTCTCTCGGTATGGTTGAGGTCCATCGTGTAATGTGGTCACTTTTGTGATGTTGTGTGCTCATATTATATACATTTTGTAAAATTATATTCAATTCATTTATGTGCCATTATTCCAAATCCATATTGCACTTTGAATCAATTGTGGGGTTTGATGAGTACGGATGCTCCCTTTTTGTGAAGAGTATGAAACACCAAAGCAAAGCACATATCATATCATGAAATTCTAGCCGCACTTCAGAAAAACGGCCGTTCGATTATAAGAGATGTCAAAACATTCATTAATATTAACTAAAAAACATAAAACTGATCTATATCTACCCTTAAGAAGCAGATATGACTAGAGACCTCACGACGGTAGTGGTTCCCGGATCCGCTCATGATAGAAGCGCACAAATTCGACCAGTGTGTAAAGTGCGCGGCAAGCCCGTTACACCTGGCAGTACTTGTGGTAAATTGTATTCATTGCAAAAATGGACATGTTATCTTTAAGTACCGGTAACCGGGACGGCTATATTTTTTTCGTTTCTAATGTTTCCAACGAGGTCAGATAATTAACGGCCAAAAGGCAAGAGGCCGAAATGCTAGCCTGTAGGCGCTCATCACCTTTTCGTAATGCACTGGTGAGACACATCGAGGTTCGCTCAAACCAGCTGCCGGTTGCGAGCAAATCGTATCCACCGTAAAGCCGCTGATGCTGAGCGTCTATGTCTATGAAGGCCGAACAGAGAAAGTATCTCCTTCTGGATTAGGGAATGAATTAGGCCTTGCTTTTAACTGATAAACGGTGCGTCATGCTTGCGGTTTTACAATTGAGAGGCTGCGCGCGAAAATAGGAAAAGACGTAAAGTCCCGCAGCAAAAAGGCGTTCCTTACGTATCGACTATGTTCAAAGTTAGCGAACTATGTCCAAAATTCTGGGGCTGATATTGCCACAATGGCCTCTTTGCTCTTCTGTCAGAGGTCACAGCTTCCGTCATCATGGAAGGATGACCAAATGGGTGCAGCTCGCGCGGAGACCCTCCGCGTCAACACTACAACTCTCATTGGATTGGTGGGTCCTGCATAAAATGCGAAGCACAATTTTGGACCGGATGAGGTAATGAAAATGAAAGTTATATGAAGGCTGAGAAGCATACCTAAGTTATGCTGTGAGAAGAAAAGGAATCGCTTAGCTGCTGAGCAGCGCCGTGGAGCTCGCAGAAGTCTCATCTGCGGTGTTACAAATATCAGCGCCTTTCGTGTCCCCCTTTGCTCCGAGCGAGAGGTACGAAAGGACGCGCTCCCACTCCAGGGCGGTTGGCAGAAATGTCGCGAGAAAATATCAAGTATCACTTAAAGCAGAGCGACCTATTGTTTGAAACCTTATCGGGTCATCATCAATGGAACATAGTCTCAAATGGACAACAACTCTCTAATATAGCAGTTGATAGCAACGTTACAAGCTGTAAGATGTGGAGATCCTTTATATTCAGGACCGTCGCACAATTAAGACTGGAGCGAGACTGTCAAAAAACAATAGACGGCACACACAGGCATAAATGATGCTAACTACGTATTCGATATTCGTGTGTCTTGTGACGGGAATAAGTCGAGGTTTCTGTCAAGCCCCCAAACGAGTTTAACCGCGTGTCTAATTCTTGGCCTGACTCAAGATATGATTTCATTCCGGGCCTGGTGAGGCTAAAATTTGAAGGGGTATGGATCAACTAAAATTCGAAACACAATTTTCGAGTGGTAGAGCTGCGACGAGGCATAACCTCACCTCTGCCCACTTTTGGCACGGGTACGTTGCTATTATGGATTCTATGCAAGATCAAGATTGCTCAAAATTGCAAGCAAAAGCTATTAAGTGCTTGAGCAAAGCTCGGAAGGAAGAAGTGGCGGTGAGTCGCCGTCTTAAGACGGGACAGAATAGTGTGATTGTATGTCGCGGTCTCTAGAAAGCACCTTTGTTGAGACGGGAAATTTCAAATGTATTTCGTGGTTCCAGAGTATATCTTTGACAAGATAATAAACTCAGATGTAGTTGTTACCTTTTGTACCAGGGCTGGTGAAAAGGGACTGAGTGTTGCAATTGCTCTTGCTAGTGTCTATAGGCGGGAAGGCTACTGCGAGTTGTGAGTAGAAGTGCCAGGCTCCGGGGATACTACTGAGTCTGCACAACTGTGTGTGAGTAGATGTAAATTACTTCTCGAAGTTGCGGAAGCAGTGAAACTACGGGTAAATGGTGAGACAAATTATTTACTGGTGAATGCTGAGATCAGGACAGTGCCTGAGGACATACTTCTCCTCTCACTACATCCGGTAGAAGCTCTCATATCAGGTATAGATATTCAATTTTAAGGAATGTGCAAGAGATCGCAAGACAGTGATGTCGGTGAGATGATACCGTTGGCACCAGTGGATGAGCTGAGTTAAGCATCCATCCTTGATAAATCTGTCATCGAGGGCACTCGTAGAGCACTGAGTCGGCAGAGTGGGGTAAGTATCCTCAAGTCTCCATCTTTTTCATCTTTTGTCGAAGGTAAATCACGAAGTGATGACGAGACACCCATCATGCGAGTCTATCGGAATTGATGAGTGCGCCAACGAATTGACATGGTCTTGAGCAATTGATTGGTCGTTTTGTAATGTTTTCACCACGAGAACTATGTGAACTCATTGACATTTTTCTTTGGTGCAATGCACGGAAATAGTTTGGTCGAAAAGCATAAATCTTAATACTCAAAATCGAATTTCTGTGTCAGAAAAGAGAATGACAGGTGGCGAATTGTACATGCTTATTACAAGAGAAATAAAACAATGATGTCGGCGCAAATACCAATTTTGAAAGGATGTCGAGCAGAACAGCATGATTAGCTGCTTTTGTTCACTTGCCTCGTTCCAGTTGATGGTTACTATCGAGTGCTGACGAGAGATGGCGCTCGTGGTGGATACTTTGAGCTGAATGTTCTGAGAGAGTTTAGTTATGCGACAGGGATTGTACATAGCGACAGATACGTTCACTCGTCCGCGACGCAGCTGGACACACTTATGCACAAACCTATTCCGGAGACATCTCCGTTCATAGTCGTGCAAGCACTGGGGTCGGAACATCAAACACTTGTGAGCTGCGCTCAACTGTATACGCTTAAACAAGTCATCACCAATTTAGACAAGTGTATGGCGCCGACGATATTTATCTCTCTGGGTTGCTTTATTGGAGGGGCGGTGCGGGGGCCGGTCGTGCACATATCAAGAATGTTTTAGATTGGCTAGTGCCTCTGTTGAAGGGAAGAAAAACTTAGTCTGATGAACTACTTGCACCAGTACAGTGCAAACTATTTCAACGTGGCACGAACCCACATCAAGTTTGTTTAAGAAAAGGTGTCAAATGATGCTAGGCGTGGCAGACGAGGCAATCTGTTAGTTTGTGGGCAAATATCTTACGCGTGCGTCGAACCTGTTTTTTTCGAATCCAGATTGACCATTTCACGTTGTCTGTGACGCTTTAGCCACTGCAATGAGCTGCGCTGTACTCCGAGAAGAGGCAAATGAGCATGTACGCTTGACTAGTTTGAGTCTCGCTAGCTTTACACCGCAGAGATGAACTATCCTTCCTGTTCATGATAAGGAGCTACTTGCAATGAAAAATACCTTGTCAATTTATGGGCGAGTTTGCTTGTCTCGAATTCATTTGTTATCTACACGTTGCGCACAGCGATACCATAACCACATCTCTCACAGATCTGGCAAAATGGTTCATCCTTTGTTGTCGAGTATACTTTTAAGTAAGCTGTAAGCCGGGTCGGCCCAATGTCGGATACTCCTTTCCCAGCGGGGAGAGTGTAACGGGATCACACGTGCCCTTGTATAGAAGGGTGGGTCACACAAGATTGTGTGACCGTACAAAGGTGTGAGTTTCACAAGTCGGTGTAATTACAAAAAAGGTGTGGCTACACAGTAACAAGAAGCCACTACCTGAGTTATGCATATTAATTAGGTTTTTATATTAATTAAGTGTTAATATCAATGAGGAGAACCTAAGTGTTTAGATAAAGGCGGCTCTGCCGCAAACAAATTAATTAAATACAGATTCAATTTTGAGCGGAAAAGCGTGTAAAAGCGTGTTTACCTTGGTTAAGGTCTTAAGTACTGTCGGAGGTAGCGGATTGCGATCCGCTTAACATGTACTGGTTCTTGTAAAGAACTCAAGGTCGTTGACCTTAGCTTAGCTTCCTTTAGGCAAAGAGCTACGGCAGCCCCGCTGCTCATATCTTAATCGTGAATAATGCTAGATATAAATGTTCCACCAGATATCATTGTAAAGTTGTTTATCACTTGATGTGTGTCCAGCTCACGTGTAACACAAATCCCTCCTTTACAGAGGACTAGTATGTAACGGGGCAAGTTTTTGTAATTTTGAGTACATATATATATGTTTACTTTACTCATTGGGTACAAAATTACAATTTTCTGGCTTAGTTATAAATAGGCATTATTACCAAAAAAAATTAAAATGACGGAAGAAAGCATAATCGCTTACCTGGCCACACTCTCTGATTTCTGATGCTCTTGTCAAACAGCTTACCATGTGTTATTTCGTGTGCATGAGCAAGACCTCGGTTCAGCGAATTCATCAGTGGAAAAGATATTTAAAGTGAACGGGCTAATTTAAATTTTTGAAAGGAGGTTGTGAGAAATTATATTAAAAAGAATCGTGAAGACAAGCCCTGGTGCGCGCACGAATGCACCAAAAATTAAAATGCGCAAAGTTACTGTCACCCTGGTGCACTACTACGTTTGCGTTCGCCGGATGTGTCATTCGACTGCCTCTCCGTAGCTGTTTAGCCCTTTTTCCCAAATTGATTTAATTTTGACCAAACTGAAACATAGTGGGCTGGTCCGACGTTGTGCCAAACTGAAACTGTTGTGCATTAACATCCGTGTCGGGCGCTAAGCTGTCTTCCGCGTCCTCTTCGCCGTTGAAGTATGCCTCCACGATGCTCATAGACTTTAAGTAAATGTCTGTCATTAACAAGCATATCTTAGCACACCAGCGCACAAGGAAAGCCTCTTAATTTGTACCTTCATTGGCGTGGTACTGCAGCGCTTGAATCTTAGCAACACCATCCGCCTCATCGATCAAGGTGGCAACTTCGTTGATATCATTTGTTTTCTTCAGATCGCCAACACGCAATATATTCTCAAGACCCTCTAACGCCACAACTACAACCTTTGCGTCCTTAGCCTCAAGAAGATCACAAAGAGGTTTAATACACCCTATAATCAAATGAGATCGAATCATGAGCTTTGAGTAATATACGAGCGCTAATGACAATCTACTTACCAAGGCTGACAAGATGCATGATTTGCTCTGCCGAGCCGCCAGATGTGGCATTTGACACAGCCCAAGCAGCTTCTTTGCGTATATCAAACTCCGCAGTCGACAAGAATGTAATCAGCGACGGGAAAATATCGGCGTCAATGATAAATTGAATTTGCTCTTGGTTACCGGCCGTGATGTTGGAAATTGTCCAGCAAGCCTCCTTTCGGATACCCTTCTTGGGGCTCTCCAAAAGAGCACGCAGGCACGGAAGAGCATTCAAATTTATGATGACCTGCGTCTGCAGATCGTTGCCTGTAACAATATTACCAATGGTACGCAGTGCGGGCGTCTGCACGGAAGCAGAGTGGTGCATCAGCAACTCAACGATTCGCCTGCACACACCGGCCTCAATCACTGCTTGAATTTTCTCGTTTGAGCCATCAGACAGGTATGATAAAGCCCAGCACGCATCCGTTAGCACTTCTTCGTCGTGAGTGTATATGAGCTGACCCAAAGTTGGAAGCGCAGGCGCGACAAGGTCAAACAGCGGCTGCGGTTTGCCACGGCAAAAATTAGAGAGTGTCCAAGTAGCGTTACGAAGCATTGCCGTCCTGGAATTCTCCGTCAACTGCTGCATGAGCGGACGCAGGGCTCCACAGCGTAGAACCATATCACGACACTGAATTGAATCACCCGCAATATTACCAAGCGCCCACACTGCTTGTTCACGCACATCGACGTCCGTCGATAACAGTAGCTGACAGAAAATAGGTACTGCACCATGCTTAATCACCACTTCAGTATCAGCAGAGGTACCTGACGCAATATTTGTCAGCGCCCAAGCAGCTTCGAACTGCAGTGTCGGGAAGTCCTCCCGCTGAAGAAACTGCACAAAAGTGGGAACAACACCGGTAGCAATCACCTCTTTGATAGGCGGATTGTGCTCTGCAACAAAAAATATGATTGTAGATTTGATTATGCAGTTCTACATGACCTCAGCTGAGCTAGCTTACCAATAGAAAGAAGTTTGCGAAACTTAGTCACAGATTCTAACTGCACTGACGCATCAACGGAGTGTACGCCTGATACCATCTGCGGAAGCTCCGACAGCTGCAAAACAGTCACCACCACTTAAGCAAGCTCTCTTCGAAAAATAAAACCATCACCAATTGCTTACTTTTTGCATCAGCGACATCTCACTGGCGCTTTCTTGCGAATCGGGAATTAGAGCGTCACCTGGTGTCTATACGAACAATACGAATTTCCGTAAGATAGGCCGCATTTCGAAACTTGCAACCTGCACTTCAATTTAAATGAAGCTGTGGCAAAGTCATCAAATCGTCCAATAATTTACCATGCGGCGGCGTTGGTTCATGCGGTCCTCCTTTATCGTCTTGCGAATCTGCACGGTAGTCTCCATGCGGCTGCGGCGCGACTCATCAGCGTCAATTCCTTTTTTAAAAAGATTCTTGCGCTCAGGTGCTTTTCCTGCCGGGAATGACATGTCTATAGTATCTACTTTCTCTCGAATAGGTCGGTGGCAGCTGTACGGCTTTTTTCCTTGTTTCCCCTTCTCGCCGCCAACTAAAAAACTAGATGTGGCCCACACTTTTCAGAAAAAATTGATGACATTGATTGGTTTTACTGCTTGAAAAACCTCAGGCAGATTTCTGCCCCGATTTAGTATTTCAAGTGCCTCAAGTTCTATCCTAGAAATGAAGGATAACGCGAAAAATGGGACGGTCAATGGCGTAGCTGTCTCCTCAATTCCTATTGTGGTGATTCATGTGATTGACGAGTACCGACAGAGCAGCAAAATTTTCAAATGTCAGCGTGAATTGCTGTTGACCGAGATGAAATACTTTCAGGCGTATCTTAGTGGAGCCAACGAACACGATGAGATCGAAATTTCGGTGCACTGCGACGTTAAGATCTTCGCGCTTCTTATAAAATACATGCGTAATCGTGGCCGTGGATTAAAGCCACACATCACGCTCAAAAACATCGTGTCGATTCTTGTCGCTTCTGAGTTTCTTCAGATGGAGGAGCTTGTCCAGGAATGCGTTTCCTATATCTCAAGTTGCATGCAGGACTTCATAAATCACCGTGTGAGCTTAAGCGGGTTATTAGACTCTACAATTACTAAGATTGCTGAGAGCTGCACGATCGAACAGCTACAGTTGCTTTACGACCCACAGGACAAGATCCTGTCAAAATTACAACAAAAGAAAGTCGAAGCAATAGTTTCAGACTTACAGACCAGAGAACGACATCTTGAGCTCTGCATGTATTGTGGCCTTTTGTTTCTTAAGGATGATAGGAACGGCGCTGGCTGCTTTGAAAGTAAATTTTACATTGGCGTACACGGCGAATTGATAGGACACCATGAAGCCAAAGCTGGATGGCAAGTCGAGACTTTTCTACAAGAAGTGAAGGCAGACAATAATATCTCTTGGATCGCGGTTTTCTGGTACATTTTGGGCTCTATTGAATATTATCGATGTACTGGATGCAAGCGAGAATGCAGCTTGCGTGAGCTGCAGGACTGTGCTTATCATCCCGGCGATATCATTGACGATCGTCCAGTATACAAGTATTCGTGTTGTGGTGTCCCAATTTTTAGTGCTGATGAGAATTTGATACGAGGGTGCCAGACCACAACTCACACGATGATCCATTGCGATAGACGTCCAATTGTAAATAGCTTTCTTAATAGTATGTCACTTCCTAATATGTGGGCGCAAATAAGTGCATGCGAGTCGATGGCAAGGATGCAGGGATCTGCATGGACCAGCGATGTAAAAGGTGGCAGCAGGATTGATGCCTCCTCCCTCTTTCATTTGCCCCACCCAAGAAAATCTCTTGCAAACACTGCCATTTGCAACTTGTCGTCTAAAAACTGTTTTAATGAGAGCAAAAGCGATATAAAGGGCTATCGCAGGCAATGTGAGGTGCTGCAGCTTCAAGAAAAGGATTGCGTGCATTTTTTTAATATCACCCACCAACTACTGAATCAGCGGAAAAAGGCAACCAATTAAAGCATTTTGTGTGGTATACCCACAGATCAACGAATGTGGCAGCGGCCATTGCGCGACGTGGTGTCGCGCTGTCATGTGGCCAACTTGCGCGTGTCTGTAATAATGTCACGCAATCTAATTAATGAAATGGCACGTCGCTGGAGACTGCCGCTTACATCCAAAGGCACAAAAGTCTGGGGTGAGTATATGGCTGGTACCGTTATGCTTAGTTCATTTTTTAAGGGTGAAGAGCGCGTCAAGGTTATGGTTAAGACGCCCAACATCCAAGAACTTTACGTCGAGTCGATGGCTGCTGGAGAGGTAAAAACGTGCGCGTTTAGCTATTTGAGGCAATGCGGCTAACTGTTGCAATTTTGCCATCCAGATCCGAGGCAAAGCCGTTTACGTGGACCCTTCCCTCGCTGTAGCCCCAGAACATGGAGGATACATGCACGTTACCAAGATTTTGTATGGTGCTGCAAAGCCATACAATACCTCTATCGAGGCTTCGGGTCTACCTGAATTAGACTGGCAACGGTATTTTGATGTATCGGAGCAGGTTCCGACAATTGTGCGCATTGATAGCGAGGCCAACGATGACGACACGCGCATTTGTGGTATTATGGTCCAAAAAATGCCTCCGTCGGAAACACCTGAGCGACAGTATGAGTTGAATGACCTCGCGTTCGATAAAGTACCATTTCTTGCCACGGATCTGAAGAATTATACGGATCTGTTGGGATATCTCAATGAATTAATACCTGGTTCTGACATCAAGAATAATGAGTGCAAACGTGTGCCGCTGGATTATTTCTGTCGATGTTCCAAAGCCAACTATGCGCAACGTCTTCGAGAAATGGGAGCTGCCGACTTAGAGCAAATCGCCACCGGCGTAGGCAGTGCTGGGGTCGATCTTACTTGTCATTTTTGTAATGATGCACACCATTTTTCTGCCAACGACCTAAATGCTTTAATTAAGTCGTTACGCTAAGGTTTTTAAAATGGAAGCAGTGCAAGCTATTAGTAAATTTCTCGAACGGACGACAGCTTCGTTGATCAATGTAGTATTCTAGCCTTCTTGCCCAAACTCCTGCGTCCACTTTACGAAACGAGTAAGCTCCTCAGAGGCGACAGTAGCAGTTGTATGCTCAAGCACGCGTGTGAAGTCACTCTGCAGCGTGATCAAATTTGCAAGAAAGTCAAAGCAAAGCGCAAGACCGAAGACGAGTTGCTCTTACCATCGAGATGATCGGCGGTCGCAGCTTTTCATCCGAATAGCCACGTTCTGAAAGATCGTAGAGCCGCATGCGAAGCGATTTGCAATGTCGACAAGGGGCTTTGCAATCTGAGCACTTCGGGGGACATGATGAAAGTTTAATGTGGCAATACGCGCACGGCGGATCATCTTCACACGGTGTCACGAAGAGGCCATTTCGGACAGGGTGAGCCTTGTCATCACACTAAAAAGAAATAAACAGTATTGTCCAACGTTTACAAGCTAAGCATCATATCTCTAGACGTGTGTCGATAGTTCAGTCCTCACCGGAGTGAAATACTGGGCTTGCTGACATTTTCTGAGGGGTTCCATCAGCGCGTCTCGGACAAGCACGGATATATCTGAGCCAGAACAACTAAGAATGAAGTACATGAGTAAAATTGATGGCACCGATATTTCCAGTTGATTATGACATTGTACCCTTCCGTTTTTTCTGCGATCGATGTGAGGTTTGCATCGCTTAGCTCATTTGGCGTATCACCAAGGTGGATTCCCAGCATAACTTTTCGTGCATCAGTATCAGGTAGAGGGATGTAGATACGTTTTTCAAATCTGCACATGACATCGGTCAGCTTTTCGAGCCCTACCGTGTTTTCAATTTATATAATATATTACCGTCGCCTCATCGCTGGATCGAGCTCCCATGGTACGTTCGTAGCTCCAAGCACCAGAACACCGTCATGATTATTTCCTATTCCTTGCATTTGAACAAGAAATTCATTTTTAATTCGGCGCGTCGAATCACTTTCACCTTCCGATCGATTCGAGCACAGTGAGTCAACTTCGTCCACGAAAATAATAGCCGGCTTCTTTTCGCGCGCCATCTCAAAAAGATTCTTTACCAGCCTACAGCAGGCAATTTCAATAAATAATATCGAATTTGGAATAAGATCGTACTTTTCGCTTTCACCTTGCCACTTCGACACTAAGCTAGAAGATGAGACCGAGAAGAAAGTGGAGTCTGCTTCTGTCGCGACGGCCTGAGCAAGATATGACTTACCTGTGCCTGGAGGCTGTCAGGTAATGAGACAGACGTTAGCGTACATCCAGGGTGCATGATGTACTGTAACATAATGATAAACCGACCCCATACAGCAAGATACCCTTCCACGGACGTCGCTTCCCTGTAAAAAGCTGCGGAAAGCGAGCAGGTAAAATAACTGCTTCTTTGAGCGCATCCTTTGCAGCATCAAGTCCAGCAACATCATCCCACTTGACGTTCGGCTTCTCCGACACAACCGCAGCTAAGTAACAACAATTATGTACCTTTTCCTTCGTCAATATAAGCAAGCTAGAATACGGAAAAGCTTACAAGCTAGTGAGCCTCGCAACTTTGCTGTTTCTGCGTCTGTCTCATCGTCATCTTCTTTTTCTCCTCTGAGCTTAGCAACGTCAGTACTTAAAGCTCAACTAGTTATTTTATGGCTGCACCATATGTCTCACTTATCCACATCTACTGCAGCTGCTACAGCTTTAGGGGCTTTCGTTTTCTCTAGCAATCCTCGAAGTTGCTCGGCACGCGTCATGTACCCTTCCACACGCTTCATTATAATATCTTTGGACGTCGGATTCTTCTCATCTTTTAACCATGGCAATTCAGCTCTGCATTGTCATAAAAGAAATTCACTTGAACACGCACATTTCACGCCAATCATAAAGTGTTCAAGCGCCTTTTTGTAAAGACGAAAAGCCTCCTCATAGTTGTTGTTGTTGTCCTCATTAATAGCCTGAGTCACGATTTCAATTGCCTGGGGTATAAACTTGTTCTCCATTGTGATTGCGCTTCTTTTACTGCACTAGAAAAAAACATAACCTTGCATTGGTCAAAATTTTGAGTAGTTTTTATCTAGCTCAAGAATTGTTTACAAGTCATTGGAGAAGGTCAATCAGCTACGCAAAATACATAATACTTGCAATATGGCGCTATCACTTGTGATTTCAAACGATGCTTGTGAATAAATCTGTGTCTGCACGACATCAATGCAATGAAGCAGTGTCTCGCTGCCTACTATAACGACGCGAGCGAATACTGAGTGATTCTTCTTGATTTTTGGTATCTTCGAAAAGGGCAGATTGGTCAACAAAATTCTTTAAGAAAAATTAAAGACCACGCGCCTTTGCATGAAAGTCTTCAGCTGGTCGAGCGACTTTGCAGTCAAGCAAGTTGATTTCGGTTCATAAGCTGACTACGAGCTGAACGTCGTCATGGGCTCTACGGCGGGATGTCCAAACACATCCCGGCGATGGTAAAGCACACAATACCCGAGACTTTTGCAGAGAACATCTGAGACCAGAGAGCGCGGGATAAGCTAAGCCATGTAGGTTTAGGCAGGACTTGGATAGTCGCTCGGCCGTTCTTTTTCGGAAACACCTCGGCATCTTCGGTAAAATTTCTGCTCTGCGCGTCGTTCACGAGGAATGCTTCCAGTTAAGGAAAAGTACTGGATGCTCAGCATTATTGGATTCACAGTGGGTGCAATATGTTCATTAACCGGCAGAACGACATACCCCTGAAGGTGTCTGACCTGTGCATTCTCATAACGGGAAAAATTTCAACCCAGCGATCACAGCTTTATGTGCTTTGACCGCTGGTTCCCTGTATTCAGTGAGAACAATAACCTAATTGGCTCACATGCATATGTAGTTGTCCCGAGAACAGCTACTCGAGCATTTCATGTTTCATTGTTCCACGGAATACCGTCCTTACACAACTCGGTCGTGGATTGGCTACAAAATGCAGCGGAGTTGCCGTGTATTGCAATGGAAGCCTGTCTCGAAGAGTCCGTGATGTCAGGTGAACAAAGGTTGACCTCATCCACTCAGCCCAGAAACAGATCAACGACGTCTTAAAATTCCTTTACGAAAGAATAACTCTAAAGGATTCTTAAGGATCGACGATCCACTTCGTGCGCTTAGCACCCTCTTAGTGTCCTCCAAAGCAGCTTCATCTGGAAGCGACGACGAGTTATTCTCCTTGTTCGGTCTTATGATGATCCCTTGGTTATGTTGTCTACTATCAAGGCACCGCCAAACACTTCGAAGGACATCTCGTCCGGCTCAAGAAGAGCATCCACCGCAGAAGTAGCCTCGAGGGTGACATCGCCGTCTTTCTCTCCCGTCATACCGTTGACAAGGGTATATAACTGTGCGCTATCGTCCACGGTAGACACACTCTAGACCGGGGTCGACGCCCTGCGTCTTGAGGTTAACATACGGCTTCGCCCTCCCCTCTCTCTATAGGTTTCATGTTCATGTCTCACCGAGACCAGTGGGAACACGCACTCGGTGTCGTCCAGCGTCCCCACTCCCTGCTCCATCGAAGCCTTGATACTATTAACAACATCTGACGAAGAGCTCCTATTCCCGCAGTCATCATCCAGTGGATAAACGATCTACTCCAAGGGCCTCGCCCTTGGTGCCTCAGACTTGTCCGACCTGCCATTCTTGGTACACAGCAACTGCTTCGTAACGTGAGCAGTGCTCAGTGGCTTACGTGCCACTCCACGTGCATCACAAGGGCCTCGCCCTTGATGCCGCGGCATTTGATGCCGCGGCCCTTGGCCGATCATGCCATTCCTGGCATGCAGCGACTGCTCCGATACTTGATCAGCGCTCAGTGAGTTACGTGCTACTTCATGTTCAGCCCGCGGGACATGCTCGGGACTACACTTTCGATGTTCGACAACTCAGATACTCCGATATCCAGCACATTGATCGTCCCAGCGCAGTGCCCGCGCCAAGGGCGCTTCTGCTTACTAGCAAAGGTGGGTTTATGACTCACCAAAGCTCGACCAGGAGACGTGCGCGTAGCGCCCAAGGTTTTTGAGCTTCAATCAAATTATGGATCATAGTGTCCAACCATGCCATACCAAGGATCAGGTCATACCTTGCATCCAAGTCTAAGACTGGACAGCGTTCCACGCATCAAAGTCAAGGAACTTGACACCGAGGTCCGCAGAGACCCTCGGCACAGTTACACAAGTCCCCGTCGCTTAGCCAACAGTGACAATGTCACTCAACCGCGCTTCCAACGCTTCAGTATACAGCTGACTCCCTTCGATCATGAAGCGTCAAGCATAATTGCCCAACTCGCCAGAATCGATAAGGATTTTCCATGGCTTATCAAAGACCTTCACGGTCGCTTTTATGACCAGCAAGTTCCGTGTTCAAGAGCAAACAGCTCTTCGGGGCTAAGCCTTGTTGCCTCTACCTCTTCGAGATTCAACAGAAATCAGCTCTTCCCCAGTAGGGCGCCTCGCGCCGACTGGGTCTTGTCGGTTCCCCGCGTCAAACCAGACTGGTTAGAAGCGGGGCGTCGGTTCGACGAAACCTTACGCGTCTTGCGCAGGGGGCAACCAAAATGAATGCGACGGGTGTCTCCAAAGACAAAACACCTTCGGGTGTTTTATCGCTGCCCAGAAGCTCAGGGATCTGCCTCATCTCTCTCAGCATAGCTGAGGTCCATCGGCTCATGCCCGCTCAACGAGCTCGAAGACTGTGCATTCCAACCAAGTCATGCCGACTTAAGTTGAATTCGACATTCAGTGCCACATTCACCGCTTCTTCAAGAAAAGACGGATGCACACGGAAAACTTCTGTTCTGTCCACGCTAGTGCGAAGATTCTCCATAAAGACGGTCACTGCGACCGCCTTGGGGAGCGGATCGGCTGCCATACTGGCAATAATAATTCTCAACTCTTAGACAATGTCCACCAACTCATTCTTGCCCTGTCGGGCAGCAAAAAACCGATCTCACGCGATACGCCTGATTAGGCGGCAGGAACACTTGCAGAAGCTGACGCTTCTGCTCCTCCCAGGAGGAAATCGCAGCTTCAGCCGAAGCACCGCACTTAAGTGCCCATTCTTGAGCTCGGCCCCCGTGCTTGAGGATAGCTAGCTCCACGCGCTGTTGCTCGTTTTGGAGCATGGCAGATGCCATAGCCATCTCGGCCTCTCTCACACAGAGAAATATATTCTTTTGATTTTTACCCTCGAAGTTCTTAACGCTCACCATGAGCGGCCTGGGTCAGAAGGAATCCTTCGTCGTCGACGGTGGCGTCATAGACGCAGCTGAGTTGTCAGCTTCTGCTGTAAGTGCTTACAGAGCATTTTCATAACTAGAAAACGCCTCTAAGCGCGCGCTTATGGCCTTGTGTCCTTCCGCAACGAGGGGATCCACGCCCTCAGAGTCCAGCAAAGACATCAGATTATTAAGCCCGTCCTGCATGCCCTAGAAATAGGAGAATTGCTCCATCCTCACAGAGGATCAGTCGTAACGACTCAGGCGTAGATTGACTACGAGTGCTGCCATGTGCAGTGGGGCTGCCGTAGCTCTTTGCTTAGAGGAAGCTAAGCCAAGATCACGGATCCTACGTTCATTCCAAATACCCCAGTACTAGTGTAGCGGATCGCAATCCGCTACTTCTACGTACTAAAGACTTAGCAAGGCAAATGAGCACCTCCGTTCAAAAACGAAACTGTATTTAATTGTTTTAGTTGCGGCAGGGCCGCCATAATCTAAAATCAAGATTTCCTAATTAATATAGTAATACCTAATTAATATAGCAAAACCTAATTAATATCGTAATATGCATTACTTTTGGCAATCGTGTCACGTGGTAGCTTCTTATTACGGTGTAGCCACACCACTGTGATGTTACACTAACTATGTATTACACACCTAGGTACGGTTGCACAATTTCGTGCGACCCGCTCATCCTCACAAGGGCACGTGTAGCCCCGTTGCACCGTGTGTGTCCTTTCCAGAATAGCATCACCTCACCTCTTTCTCGTACCAATTACTAAACCAATGATGGTACGATATATTCGCATTTACAAACGTGATTCTGAGGGTTATTTTAAGTTCGAAGTACAACAGTGCAATGCGAATGTAGTATACGTACCCTCTCCCACTAAATTTTTTTAAATATTCTGGGCGCAGATCACTGTTGTCTTTGTGGGGTTTGACGTCCAATCCTTTTCGGCATTATATTCTCAGATGTTATTTGCCGACTTCCAGCGCACCACCCCTGTCTTCTTCAAAGGAAGCACGACTTTGCCATTTTTATCGACTGGGGTCGTCCGAGGCTTGTACGTTCACATCGTTCACACTCGATTTCGTGTGAATTTCGCATACCGTTCCTGTTTTTATCAAAGCAGGTAGCAAACGACATCTTACTGCGGCACAGTCGATGAGTCATGTTTCATTACCATTGTTTTGCGTTAGTCTGTCAAACAAATCGAATGACCTATCAAATGCTAGGTGATGATGCTGCAGCAGATTGTCTGCTTTACATGATAAATATATTTTTTTCGCTTCGTCTCGAACTCATATCAGCTCAATGAGTATAGTTTTTTTTGCTTCATGCTCCTGATTGAGAGGTCGAACCCCCTCAAATGATAAATTTCACTCAACAAAGTGTCAAAGGCTCACTGTGGAGGTTTTATAATAGCCAGATATCACGTACTCTAAGTTGATTGGCTGCTTGACTGTACATAACTACGGCAGAGTAATTCCAAAAGAATTTTTTCAAAGAGGATTGCGATGACGGAGTCACAGCAACGTTAAATCAAAGGCGTAAGAACATGATAGACGCTTTTAGTTCTAAAAATTTTGGCCTTGAGGTTCTCCATACTTATCGCTCCTTCTTTGATAATTTGATGATTAGCTACCATTTCGTACGTTCTGTCACTCACGTGATTGTCGACAAGAAAATGATCATAAAAGTACGTCTAACTTAGTTGCCTATATAATCTTAGTTCGTGGTGTGATCGGCCTGCTTATATCCATGAAGCGGCTGGCACATCTATCGGCTAAGTCCTAAGAACGAGATCGGCTCTTATTGGATCGGTCAGACCGAATGGCGCTGCGGGAAACGCTTAAACGAGAGAGGACAAAAATAAGGTGTGCCAACTCATTAGCGTCTACAGCACCAGGATAGTCCTGCAGTAAAGGATAACGCTACTTTCTTGAATAAGGCTAGCCCTTTCACTTACCAGATTCTGGTTATCCTCTCTGGGAACATGCCGACCCAGCCTTCTATGGCTTCATCGTATTTATCAAGCAGAGCTGGCGGAGAAACCCCCTGATGTGGTTGGCTCTCATGAACTTTCAAGATTGAGAATGCGCGTCGACTCTATCGAGTAATGTGCCTCAATCGCGGACATTTGTCATCTTTCCAACCTTTTTGAATAGCTAAACATTCGAATTGATTAACTTATGTCACATGAAAATAAAACTGCCTTGAAGCAGAAAGTGGCTCGACCACAGGCGACTGTTGAGATGTTATATATCTTCAACAGTATGCGTCGCGCTGGAGTCGGAGATATTGAAACGATGGTAAGCCCATGGGATGCGTTCGCATTCTCAAAGGAAACTAAGGACGAATAAATTACGTTTGGCAGCAACCGTGAACTACTGAACATAGCAATTTCGCAATTTTTTTATGCTAAAGAAATTATAGACTAATCTGAATTTAAACAACTCTGTTTGATCCACATTTAGGTGCTGTTTCTGTCTTTCTTGTTTGCTAGCAGCTTTTGTATATCCTGTATTTTAGCCATAGCATTGGTCGCTCGACAAGCAGCTCGTGGTGATACCTCATGACAAGAATGTCAACATTGATATCTGCATGAGAAACAAAACTCACCCTCGGAAACCATTTTAGCTGAGAACAGGCTTAGAGCTCAGCGACCGCTACGTGCTGGCCCTCCGATACTTACAAAATAATGCTCCCATGTGCTGGATGTATTAGTGGGAAAAACTTTGACACATGGATGAGCATCTTCTGTTAGCTACCGATCCCAGCAGAATGTTTGCAGTCGTTTGGTATACGCTTTATCTTTGATCTCCTAAAAACGCGTTCCGCAATTATTGTGTTCAAGCGTGATGGTTCATCTAGTTGATGTGTCGTGACACCGCCACAAGGGAGGATACAGCCAATCCAATATGCGCCAGAAAAATTACACCAACATAACTTCCCTATGGTCATCGTCAGATCGAGGTCCGTATTCTACAATCAAATATTGAAGACTTTGCTGCAAAAGCTTGGCACCGCACACCATCCACAATCGATGTTTTAAAAGGAATGCGCTCATTGCGAGCCAGCAATTGAGCTCTTACGTCTTTGAGTCTATATTGAAATGCTCCCGCAACTTGTATCTGCGTTGATTAACGCAATGCACACCGATACAAATTCGGCACCATTTTATCAAAATGATTTGGTTATCCAATGGTCTTCTTGACACATCCAATAAGTGGTTTTGGTCTTTGTAGAGGTGTGAGCGGTACGGTGGTCACTGATATTAGCCTGAATACCCTTCGCCGCAAAACCCACGATTTCTTATCGAAATGATTGCGTGTCGTGTGCTGAGTGCACGACGCTACGTCGAAAAACCTTTTGATACGAAGAAGCCATGAATATGCTCGAGACAATCTGTGACGGGGTAGGTACCCTACTACATTTCACTATAGCGTAGCTAAAAATATCTATGTGAAGTACTATGATGATTAGTATTCAGTACGATATTTTCCGTGACGTAGAAAATCGAAGACACGTGCTGTTTTGAAACTATTGTGATTCTGCAATGAGAACAAATGAGAAGTTGTAACTTAAGAGGGTCAAGGTTCAGCACTTGGGCCGTGCGCACGAGCCTGTTTTCTGTGCTGTAAACAGCTCTGGCTCGTAAAGTTAAAGCATTTTGGCAGAAATCCCGTTGCGTTTGGTAGCATTTGTCATCAATCGGTTTGAAGAAAGGCACAAAAAGTTCACTTATCTGTTTTCTCGACAACATTGACACTTCAAGCGCTTCTGGTCAACTTTATCCCGAGAGGATGGATCAATAGTCGGCGCAAAGCGAGGACACAGATAACTAATGTTTGAAGCGCTCAACAGCAACAGAAATATGCTGATAAAACAAGTCCAGAAATGTCTTGACCAGCACAAGTGACTCTCACAGCAAGACCTCTTTCACTAATCGTCAGCCTTTTTGCGCTGAGAGAAATTATTGTTCACACATCATGGGAAAATAATCATTACAACTATATGCGAGACTTGGCAATACCATTAGCCGGGTTGGCGGCAGACCCCATCGTAACAGTACAATAATGAAAAGTCTGCGTACAGGTGCGCACCAAGACCTTTGGTATCCATTCAAACCGATGCGTGTTGCATCGGATGCCGAGTACACTTTGTATGCATTGTGAGTCAGTTGAAACGCAACAGATTGATGCTATATAAATGTGCCAGGGCGCCCCTAGGCCAAGCTGAGGAAGGTAACATCTTCGCTGTCGATATATGACATGGCACCCGCAAGTGCTATTTCTGCGGCAAGGCCAAGGATATCTGCCCTTTGTGTCCTCTTCGGTATTAGATAAATTGGTGCGAAGGGACCACGCAGGATCAACTATCCAGGCCCTCGCGGGAAATCGTCGAGCCTAAGCAGGCACAATGCGCCTTACTGGAAAGAGTCAGGTTCTACTGCACCTTAGAATGATCGAGATTCATGAAACCCATCTTGAAACGGAAAGAGCCTCTTTAGGAATGATGAGACTCACATCCCAGGATTTTTCTGGCCGACATCAGCGTATTTGTATAGCCATGAGATCTCTTGATCGATTCAGGTGCGTTGTGTAGATACGCACGCAACTGTCAAAGTAATAGACACGCCTCGAAGTTATCGACTATTCTGATTACGGATATATTGTCCTTCATTCTGCGACGGGGATACTCGTTGATGTGTTAAGAGTTCTCTCACACTTTTTCGTAAAATTTAATGATTCTGTCAGCATAAAATGATGTCTTTGAAGCAAAAATACTGCATCATTATGTGTTTGGCTTGCCTGACCATAAACTACGAGTCGACAAAGTCGAAGCTATAAGGTGGCATGCACGGTTTAAGGAGTAAGCCTCCATGCTATTCAGCTGAACTGCGTTTAGTCTGGCTATGAAGCTGCGATGGCTCTGGTGCACGTTTGACCCAACTAATAATCATATCGCTAACATTCTTCAGCATGGTCAAAAAGCAGGTTGTGAATTGCGAAATCATGGGTGTATTACTTTCAGGACGGACCAATATAAAGCTCCCAGAGAACAATTTTGACAAGTCGAAAGCGAGCGACCTTAAGTCACGGAATTTGAGAATCGGGGGATCGTTGCCGTCGTCTCCAGGAATCAACCCTGTGTAAGAAAGTAACAACCCGAGATTAATAATGGTGCTTTATCTTAAATATGGTATAAAAATACTACTGAGTTAGCACAACCGTGTGACGCGCTCACCATACGAACCAGTGAAACACTCCAAGGTTGTGGCGAAATATTATTTTAGTTATGAATGGAGAGATCAAGATAGTCATAGCAGATGTAAGTATTACTCTAGTGTCCAGGCAGAAGCACGTATTTAGCTCAAGAGCAATGCTTGGGGGATTTGTGCAAGGAAATATTGCAAGAAAATATCGCCTTTCCGCGTCGGAAACTGACTTTAGCAAATTGTGAGGGCTTACAATAAGAGCGATACAGCCGTCACTCTGGCGTGTGCCGCAACACAGCAAGGTTGATTGCACCTTGTACATTTATCTTGTTTATTATAATGGTTACTATTCACGGCTCATGCGGGACAATGACACTGGTCATATTGCAGTTTATACTTTGAGATAGATGTTTTGAAATTGGAAGTATATACCTCAGAAGCTGTCTAAAGCGCTTGCAATGATCAGTTACCTGGTGGCGTAATTGTGTAGGCCGCATCCATACCTTGTTATTGATAAATTCACCCATAGTCGTGCATAGAACAGCAAGTCAGATGCGGACATCCACATCGAACACTTGCGATCAACGCTCAATTGTATAGGCTTGAATATATGCCGTTTGCAATCTTCAACAATGTTGTTCTCAGAGAATAAATTCCATTTTCGGGACGCTTCGTTAAAAAGTGTGATCTGCGATTTGATCCCGCGAAGATACTTGTCGCTGTGAATGCCTTGCGTCACTATTCTAAAGTGATAAACTGTATTGGCTGGATGTGTTTAAGTACGGTTCGCAGGGCCTTCGAGCCCGCATCGGCCAAATAATATCGTCTGTGTGGCTTAGACATGTGCCAGAAGCTATGCTTTACTCTAACTACTTAGCGATGGAAACGACTGCGCAAATGAATATGAATCTTTCCTTTTACGTCGCAGACGAAAGTCTCCAGTTTATGCCACGAGTCTATTTGCAATGATAAAGCCCTCGTTTTTAGAGTTAATCTACTTATCATTTATAGAATTGTAGCATTCAATCATATTACCTTGCGACGGCACTCGCACCGGTACCCCTGAGTTATTATTGGAGGAACAACACTGTAATGTGACGTAGGGTACGTGACCCTATCACAATAGGATTGTGTATATGGTGTTGTAAGAGGAGTTCATTGTGAGCGTTACACGTGAATATCCGACATATACGCTTAAGATGGCACAGACTTGATCGAGAATTATTTATTCTGATTGATTGTAACAGCTAAGCTCTATGCCTTCTTCCTATGCTATTCTTTGTACCGCACTCTAAGCGTTTGTCAATTTTAAACTACTTAGCGGTCAGCTCAATTTGAAACAGGATTAATAAGCCTAGTGCCAGCGCGACCGATTCAGTCGTACTGTAATGTCGCGCAATTTTCGCCAGTGTCATCGACCAAGTCAAAAGCGCTGTACAGCAACACTCAAACATGCTGTTCTGCAGCACATCATTTCAGCAAAGCTGTGCTTGCTTGGAAAATGGGATGCATTTAGCTTATTGAAGCCATTCACTATCGTATACCTTTCCGAAGCAGAGAATTGGCGAAGAAATTGTCTACGACCCCTTGCTAAAGACCATCGGCGTGTAATCCAATTATGGTAGTAGAAAATAGGACAATAGGCCCTTTTGATATCCTCGTCAGCCCGACACAAGTGCTTAAATTTGTTCGCCACGGTTTGTGAAATGTATATCACGTCAGTTGCTTAACTAGGTGCTACTTACTCGGCTGTGCTCTCACGCCGTGGCAAGTTGGGTCATCCTTAGTAACAATATGGCCCAGCGTTCTACTCGTGACTCGCAGTCGCCTTTATCCGCTCAAGCATGTAAAGCAAAGTACAGCTTTAGACAGTCTCCGCACGATTTTACAAGATCAAACCCTGTAGACCGCGACAGACAGTCGATTTTACGGTCGCATCATAACTTCCGTCTTGGGACCCCAGCTCAAAGCTTTCCAGCGCTGGACAAGTCCTTAAAATCATGACGTACGGTCGCTAACTCCCGTACAAGCAGATATATACTCTAGATCAAGACAACAGCCGCTCTGCTACCTACTTTAGCTCAATGCTGAAAAAAAATCATTACAAATTATTCCAGAACGCGACGTGTTGCACCAAAACTATCGCAATTACATGCTCAAAATCTTTTTCTGTTTTTTTAGCAGAGGTGAGTTTATGATTCGCCATATCACTACTAGAAGAGACCAAATGTCGTCGTTGTTCAATCGATCCTTGGCTCACGTCGTTCCGACTAGACCATATGTACCATGGGATCATATTCCAAGTCTAGATCGGGAACAAAGTGCAAAGCACTCACGCTTTATCAGGATATGGAATAAAATATTCGGCGCTTTGACGAATGAGTCACTGATCCAAGCTTGTCAGTAATCATTTGAGATCAATGCTCTCCGTTTGTAGGGCCATCAAATGTCCCGATAGATTCAGAAGCGCCACCCAATTGTATATGACGCGTGACTTTAGATAACAGAAGAAATTACGCAAAGAATACAAGGTGTTGGGTAAAAATACTATATCTGTCCGTCTCGTTACGAGCACTAAGATAGCAGCTAATTTTAAACTTAAATCTGCCCTTGTAGGCTTCCCCGCGCCTACTAGCTTTCAAAATTCCTCAAGAGCAGTTTGTTGGCCAGCTCTGCGTCGGAGACAACCTTCTGTTCTTTTAACTCAGGAGACGCACACAGGGCATCAATGCTTGGCTGTAATATCTGCCAGTACTGGACACTGCTCAACAGCAAAAAAAACCTTTTCTCGTACACAGACTGACAAAAAATTATTTCGGACGACTACAATACAAGAAATCTCCAAAAAGGACTTTGATATGATAAAAAAAGAACAATCAAGTCAAGTCCTTGTTAGCACAATCACCAAGAATTTGGTATCAAGTCCTAAAAGAGTGTACCATATTAAAGTGTTATCTCGGTATTAATATAATCATCTGTGCCTCAATGGTCTACACAGTTTATGCTGATAGTAACTCAACATAGAAAGGGCATACTCTTTGTATTTTTGCACTTGCCTTCTGCTCAACGTTTGCGCACCACACATTGCTACGCACTTCGCAACGAGAGCACCATAGTGAAAGCTTCCTAAGTTAATAGCATGGGCAGCAACAATTTAGTCGAGCCAGCCTCACAATTGCAAATGAAACAGCAACCAGAAGAAGAGGTTATGACTTTGGAGGAAGTGACATTAAGTTTACTAGTAGAGCCTCCCACCGCCAAGAGCGACCAAGTTGTGCGTCTCGAAGGTGTAAGTCCGTCGGATACTCTTGTGGCACTTCGCCAGCTCGTTGCTGAAGTACCAGCGCTTGCGTGCTATACGTGCTACCATTTTGAGGCGAAGAGTCTAACGGACGATACTTGGCAGCCACTGAATGATTATGTGGAGCTGAGCGAGTACGAGAACGTGTCTGATGGTACCCTCTTACGTATGGTACTGGAAAAATATGACGCTCGCAAGGTACGTGCCCAGGTACGTCGCTTCCGCGAAGTGCTTAATAACCCACCTATTCCTCAGCTCGTTGGAGAGCGCGAGGCACAACCAGAGGCTGATAATAAAATTGAGGATCCTCCTGAAAGCGAAAAATTATCTGAAAAAAAGGTCAAGGAAATCTCAGAGCAACAATTTAAACGCCTGCGCGAGGTTCACAATAAGCTCGAGGGTATCAAAATTCCTGTTGTTCCTGATCTTGCTGAGTTCTACTCATTTTCGGTGGCAAGTCCCTCAATTAAGGTGGAGACGGAGCAGACCGAGAGGCCTGGTAAAACAAAGGACCTGAAGAAAGGCAAGAAGGGAAAGAAAAACCAACAAAAGCAAAAGCAGCAGCTACAACAACAAAATGATAGTGTTTCAGAACCGGAACAGCTGGAAATTGATGCTAAACTCCCTGTTTGCGTCAAAAGTATTGTCTTTTCAGGCTTTAATCCACCACCAGGACCGCGTAAATTGGCAGGTGACATTTTCTATTTAGAGGTGATACTTGCTGGTGACAATATGCTCCACCACATTACAGCTCACGTCGATGGCTTTTACGTAAACCGTTCAACAGCTTCAAAATTTGACCCGCGCCCACATGAAACTAACCCAGCGCGTTCTCATCTATTAGTGGATTTGTTATGTAATATATCACCAACGTTTCAGGAGTCATACGATGCACTGCTTGCCAAAGCTGCGGCTTTGGCGAAGTCAGGACCGTCTTCAATTGAGTGGATGGTAGCTGCTGGTACTAACTTGGGTGGCAAGCTACCATGGAATTCGCCTATTGCTATTTCTTCGGGAGAGCACTCATATGACCTGAATCGTGCTGAAGATGAGCTTTGCTCTATGTACGGAATGGATGAGCGTGGTGTGTTACGCGACTGGAATGAGGAGTATCAGTGCTGTCGAGAACTACCAAAGGATACACTTAAAGACGAAATTGTGCGCGCTCGTGTCATATACAAGATAGTGGCTGAGTTCGTGGAGGCTGCCACGCAGGGTGCAGTGGCTATTGTTGAGGGAAATATTCCTCCTATCAATCCCATGGACGACAAGAGTGCATACGTTTACGTGTTTAATAACATTTTTTTTTCAGTTTCAGTTGATGGAAAGTCAACGAAGGACGCTAGCGGAGGGGAGGAGAACACTTACTCAGCTGCCAATCGCGATCTTCAGGGTGTCAAAGCGTTTAATGAAGTAGATACCAAGGGATTGCACACACTGGCTACTACTGTCGTCGACTATCTTGGCATTCGAGTCATTGCTCAAAGTCTTATTCCAGGTATCCTTATGGGAGATGCTGCCTCAAAGCTATTGTACGGCTCAGTAGATCACGGCAAGACGATTGCAGCCAACAGTGAAATGCATGAGCTCATGTTGGAGGCAGGCCAAAAGCTGCATCTTGCGGAACGTTGCATTAAACCCTTAGGGAAAAGCGAAGAAGATTTGGCTGCTGAGGCGAAGCAAGAAGCTCTCGGCGTTGCACCTGTAAGCGGTGGCGAAGCCAACACAGATGTGACCACTATTTGCGGGGCTGCCGAGGCCAAAGGTATTAGAGGCTCGGACGGTCGTTTCTATGTCTTGGATCTTGTCCGCATAACCCCGAAGGACTGGACTTTTTACAAAAGCCGAGACGCTGCTTCCAGTAATGTTTCTGAGAAGAAGAAGGGCGAAGTTGAAGAGGATGGTCTACGCTTTGCGCGTAACGACGAAGGGTATGTAGCTTTGCTGCGTCCAGAGCTGGTCCAGCTTTACTCGCTTTGGAAGCAAAATCAGACTCGTCGTGCTAAACGTGAAGCTCGAAAGCTGGCAAAGGAGGCAAAGAAGGCTGAAGACGAATCGGGAGGGGTACCCAATGCTAAAAAACAAATTGATATCTCAAGCGAGAAAACTGAAACCGGTGCTAAAGGAGTTGATCCCACGAGCGAGAAGACTGTAAGCGATGCTATAGAAAATGTTGACTCAGCGAGCAAGGAGACTCAAGCCGACGCTAAAGGAGAGGCTGATCCCGCGAGCGGGAAGACCGAGGAAAATGATTCGGGAGATGATGAAGACGTTCCTCCAGTCCTGTTAAACCCGAATGTTTTTATGGAATATGCTGCTTCAACTGATCCAACGCAGGCCGAGGCTGACGAGGCCATTGCGAAGGATGCAGCTGAGTATTTGCAGCGAATTGTGATACCAGCGTTTGTGGCTGATGTACGGCGTGGAGCAATTGCACCTGCTGATGGTTATGCTCTGACGCAGCTTATGCACTCTTGTGGTATAAACATGCGTTATTTGGGTCGTTTGGCATCGCTTGCCAAGAAGTTGGAAGCTATCAGTAGCATTTCAAAGTACTTGCTCGAACTGCTAGAGGTAGAGATGATTTCACGCGTTGCAAAACACATTTTAGCGGAACTGTTAAACTCCAACGACTCTATTCGCGCCGCCCCTGGCATGACGATTGTGAATCTCCTCAACAGCCTCTTAGGTTCAAACATAGCTGCTGAAGACAATTTTGACGCAATACAGACTAATCGTTTCGATGCTATGACGATGGTCTCACAGGATGCCACGACGCTATGGATACGCATCAATAAAGAGATTAAAATGCGATTCGACTACAAGTTGTGTCTATGGGGTCCTAATTGCAATGAGTCATGCAGCGAGGATACTGACTTTCCTGTCGGCCGTGCAAACAAGTACGTCATGCTCCGACGTGTGTGTCAGCGTCTCGGTTTTCGCGTGGCAAGTCGTAATTATGATTTTCTATCATCTTCGCCAATTGGCCTTGCTGATATCACTGCAGTTGTACCTGTCGTAAGGACGTCGTTGCCCACGCATCCGTTGCCTCAAGCCAAAAAGCTCCTAGAGCGTGGTCGCATGAATTTAAGCCAGGGTGTTTTGTCAAGTGCGTATGAGTGTCTCCAAGAAGCTTCCTCTCTGCTTTTCCAAGTGTGTGGCGCTGCTCACGAAGACGCTGCGCTCTGCAATTCTTCGCTCGCTACTGTTCTCTACCATGCCGGTGACGTTGTGGGGGCTATTGCACAGCAACAGCGAGCGCTGGCGCTGTATACACAGCTTCAAGGTATTGACTATCACGACACAGCGTATGCTCACGCGAATTTGGCATTATTTCTGCATGCAAACGCCCAGACGGATCTAGCTGTACCGCACATTCGCCGGGCTATTTACCTGTTAGAATTTTGCTGCGGGCCTCACTTTCCTGAAATCAGCTCACTTTATTTCAAAATGGGGATGATGTGCCAAGATGTGGGTCAAATTACGCTAGCTTTGATGTGCCATCGCGAGTCTCTCCGCCGTGGCGAATTCGACCGTAACCAGGCGGCTAATGTATTGCACCAAATGGCCCTTGCATGCAGCCTAGCTGGCGGATACCGTGAAGCACTTGCGTACGAGAAAAAAGTGTACTCACTCATCAAGGAGGCATTCGGAAGTGATGATCCCAGAGTTATTGAGTCAGCCAAGTTTATGGCAAAATTTACTGAAAAGGCCGTCGAGGGTGCTAAGGGTCGCCGGGAAGTTGACGCTGCTGAGGCGGCTGATGCAATTGCCAATGAGTTACTCGGTGAGCTTGAATTTAAAACGGCCCAAGAAGCTAATGGATCACCACCTGTAGCCAAAAAGAAAAATCGCAAGTCGAAGAGCAGTGGTAAGAAGCATTAAAGACTCGTACTGATGTATGCTGGTGGAAGAGGTTAGGAGGATCAAGTGAAAGATAAAGTCGAAAACAGATTTATAGACTGTACTTGTCGCGAAAACTGTAGGCGTTTGATTCGGCAACAGTCAGCACTTCCTTGCTCGCCGTTCTTGTAAGGTCTTTCGCAGCTTAATGGCAAATACGTCCACTTCATATTGCTCCATGCCTAACGTACAAGCAAAAGTGACGTACGGAACAGGAAAACCGTCGAAATGCGCACCATACGAGTCAAATTTGTATCCAGCAATATCTTTGCGATCGAGACAGGAAACGATCCTAGTTAAGGCGGCAAGTTGGTGCAAATCGCAATCAGATGACAGCAAAACGTCTCTGCATCTCCTTATCACCTTAACTTGCGCCAGAATACCCTTATAAAAAGAGCATGAATCGGAGTGATGTAAGCTGTCGCGATACTTCTTGCATATTTGTCACATTCGGACATAAAGTCGTAAGTGTCATCGCAAAGGAGATCTGGCATACCACGTTGCTATAAAGTTATGACATAATCTTGCAATACAATCATAGAGACTTTTGCATCTGTACTTCGTTGCTTAAGACGTGCAGTACACGCTCGCCCTCCTCCATGGCTACCGCATTGAGCTTCATGCGCATGTAGCCTGCTACTTGTTTACGTTCGTTAAGTAGTCTTCGATTTCCCTGCAGTAGTAGACCATGTCAGTACAAGTAAAAAGCTCGCCGTTATGCATGGTATCCACACCATTTGGAGTATTGTGATGAAAAAGTCAAGAGTGGGAGTGGAGCTAGCACGGCCAGGATAAATAAACCTTTGCCACATCCTCAACAAAATTACGGAATGCCGAACAGACAATAGCTCCACCTACGGGCACCAAGAAGTCTTATCGAGAATCTGCACCACAGCATCCACACGTCCAGATCTCATAGCCAATTCAATTTCGTGAACACATTTGGATGCCTGGACACCGTACGCATTATTGATTACATGTGCTACACCAACAGCCACTAATTTAGTCATGTGTATCTGCAATGCTTGCATTTTACCAATATTTCGTTTTTGACATAGTTCGGCAATATCTTTTCACACTATCATACGCTCTCGGAGCAAAACAACTCGAGGTACTCCTCACAGCCAATATACTGTCATTCCCGTACTGATCCATCCATCATTGCTGCCATACCCGCCAAATCTGTATTTAAGTATCCACCAGAGCCGGTATCTTCGAACCCAACCAAGACATTCGCCAATACTAATGGTATCAATCCAGCCTCTAAGTCGGACTTAAAAAAAGGACTTTTGGTCGATTCGAGGCCAGATGACGTAACGTGCGTCGGATTTTGACTCCTTTAAATGCAGCAGTACCAACGTGAGCGACATTCCGGTCGCAACAGGTAATATAAGCGCAGCCTGCACCGCTCGCATGCCTGCGAGGGGCAGTACATCCTTAGCCAAAGCATTAGCTAGCTGAACCATGAGTGAGGACCCGGCGGCTTTAGGTTGCACTGCTGCTACATCACCGGATCGATCCACACCATGTGCGAGGTAATAGTGACGACGAGCAACCAGTGAGGAGAATACACGTCCTTCGCGCTCGCCTGTACCAGCGCGTCCTCTGAAATTATTGCTGTCCATTGATGAAAGCGTATGCAGGAGTAGCTCCACACTGGCATCATCCCAACCTTCGTCAGGAAGAAGACGCTGGGCCAGCAGCATTGTCACCTGCTTCTCACGTGATCTAAACGCATCAAGATCCTGGCGCACGTACGTTGCTGGCACTAGCTGCTCCGCTAGCGCCGCACTTGTTGAATTTATTCTTTCAGATGCGCATCAATTGATTGTCAAGCAAAGATTAGCCTGATAAAAATACATTCCAATTGCTCTATTCCTCTATATATTTTCTGCAAAGCCAATTTTTTTTCTTAAACCACTGAAAAATGGATTATCACTAAAAAACAAATCTCCGTTGAATGAGCGAGCTTTATAAGGAGGCGGCGTCGCTGCTATACAAACTAGAGCTGCGTCAAGGTGGACTCAAGAGCCTAGCTTACGACGAGTCTACACTACATAAGCGTAGCTCATTTGCGCTGGTATGTGAAACGCTGCGATACAAACCGCTGCTATGTGAACTGCTGGCAGTCGTGCCGGAGTGCCACAAGGCGCTCAAAATGCGCAAAATTTCAAAGGAGACCTCTTCGCTCATTTTTGTAGCCCTGTACGACCTCTTATTTGGTCGGAAAATCATTCAGGGTGGTGGCTTCGTTAAGAAAGCGCTTCTACAGCACCAGACAAGTTTACGCGCGGCGCTAGCAAGACTGAAGATTAAGCACAAGGTGACGTCTAACGAGGCACTTTTGCCTCCCGAAAATCGCCAGCACCACTTAGCCTTGCCTCGTTACGTGCGCGTTAATACTTTGCTGGCCTCAAGTGAAGAGGTTGATGTATTTAAGCGCGAGTACGACGTCAAACCAGACCGAAACGTGCGCGATCTGCTGGTGCTACCATCTGGCACGGAGCTACACGAGCATGCTATGGTCAAGAGCGGTAAACTCGTGTTGCAGGATAAGGCCAGCTGCTTCCCCGCTTTTGTGCTGCATGGAGAGCATGTAGATAGCGAAGGCAAGCAGGGCGATGTGATAGACGCTTGCGCCGCGCCTGGCAATAAGACGAGTCATCTTGCTATGCTGTTGCAGCAACAAGACGAAGACGGAATTAATGACACTAAACTTCAGCGGAGAGTTTTTGCGTTCGACCGATCCCCTAAACGACTTGCACTTCTGAAGCGTCGTATGGAGCTGGCAGGTGCTAGTGCTCGGGTTCAAGCTGAGCTTCAGAGCTTTCTGGAGGTGTCGGTAGACCACGAGATGTACCGCAACGTGCGCAGCATTTTGTTAGATCCGTCTTGTTCTGGCTCAGGCATGACAAACCGTCTGGATCACTTGCTAGACATTGCTAGCTCACGTAATACAGCGCTGGAAGAAAACGTAGATACCGTATTCGAGAAAAAGACAGCTAAACGTCTTGAAACTCTTGCAGATTTTCAACTAAAGGCATTGCGCAAGGCGTTTTCGTTTCCGCAGGTAGAACGTGTCGTGTATTCGACCTGTTCGGTTTTTCAGAAAGAGAATGAGGAAGTCGTTGCTGCAGCATTGAAGTCAGAGGAGAACATTTGTGCAGTACGTCCATTTGTATTAAAGCCTGCCCTTACTTCATGGCCTCGTCGAGGTCTTGAAGTTGCAGGTTTGTCGGCTGAGGAGGCCAAGGCTCTTGTGCGTGCAAATGGACTTGAAGACTTTACAAATGGTTTCTTTGTCGCATACTTTGAACGGAGGGATCGAGTCAATGGTGATGACGAAGCGAGAGAAAGAATTATGAAGAACAGAAGATCAGAATTTCCATCAAGTGAGACTTTTTTATCACAAAATCTAAGTTTGGCAAAACGTGAAATATTCCAAGCGGATAAAAAACGCAAGCTTTTGTCTGTTACCCAAAGGGAGAACCGCAAGCGTCGGAAACACAAGAAGCGCAAAAACAAAAAATGTCAATCTTGACGACAAAGAAATTAGCTGCGGGATAACTAATATGTCGCGGTAATCTTTCTGATTAGTTTTGTCATACTTACCTAGTAGCATTTTTTTGGCAATATAACAACCTGATACAGGATAAAATAAGGTGTAAAATGCAACAAGGCTAGAAACAGTATCAAGTTATACCTATCAGGCGAATGTAGATTATAGGATGTTATCAGATGTTTAGCAACAATGCAAAATCATGCAAAGAACTGTATGGAGATAAAAATTTATTTAACCCTTTTTTTATCGTAAATATATGGAAGGATAGATTTTAGCTTACCGAACAATTTTTTGTCGTTCAGTAGTGAAACGGTGTTTCGATTTGTGAAAGGCCAGGTGTCCGCCACAGACTCTTAGTATAGCTTTTTGTATAAATTCTTTCAATATATAAGACCAATAGTAAGGATCTTTTTTGACAAACTAGCAACTTTTTTATTGATGGTCCGAATCCTTGCGACAGAGCGCTGCATCTATATTAAATTCCTGCAAATCAAGATTTGTAGGTATATTGCATGGTTAAAACTGTAACGGCAAGATGTTGACTTTTCTAGCAGCTGAATAGGGTGCACTGTTGCTGTTGAGCACGTCAAATAGACTACTTCTTGCCGCGACTGATAAACTACTCACTCTTAGATCACATAATAAATCTTACAAACATTCGTTGTTTTCATGGAGCAAATTCATCACTGTACAGGTACTGTTTTTATTCTTTGAAAAGCCTTTGCTACAATTTAAAAGATATAATTACGAGATCTTCCTAAGCTAAAGGCGTCACCTAGCCATCGAATAACACGGAGCTACGATCGTAACTCGCTTTCATGCAACCATCCGTCATCTGCTATTGTTTACTGAGAAAAGTTAGCGTTCCGAATATCACTTACTTACACAGATCCTTCCACAACGCTAGATTTCTTCTCTTCAGCTCCTTCTTCTTCAGCACTCTCCTCCGTGAGTGCCGCTGGACTGGCCTTGACGTCTTCGTCACTGTAAGAATCGCTTTCCAAATCTGACTCGCCTAGTTCGACCTCAGCATCAATGTCGGCTGGCGCGTCTTCTGCTGAGTCGGACGAACGCTTGCGACGCTTGACAATTGCTATACCGGCGATACCGACGATGCCCACAGCAGCACCAATGATGCTACCCATGATGGCGTAGTTGACAGCATTCTTACCGATCCACTCTTTGGCCTCAGCGGCGTAGGATACCGAAATCTCCTCCGTCGGGGACGTCTCCTTCGTAGGGGTGGCAGTGGTCGTCCCAACTTTCTTGTGCTCCTTCTTTTCCTTCTTTTTTGGCTCTTTTTCTGTAGATCCCGCAACCTTCTGCTTAGGATGAGCTTCGCTTCTAGTCGGCTGTACAGCTTCCTTAATAATGTCAAGGTCCACATTGCCATTATGCACACGCAAATGGATAGACTTGGCACCCTCTGGAACATCGATGATCTCGTCTATAATCTCATTATGGTTAAACTCAAGATCCTGGGTATACTCTTCATCATCGTTTAGTTCCAGATCAACATTACCATCCGCTAGATCCAACTCCGTGTTCATCTCATGCATTGCATCGAGACTGGCGTCAGCAGAGAAGTCGAGACTACACGATGACGATAAATCGATTGTTTGCTCACCATTACCATCGTAGTCGAGAACCTCACCGTCGGTCAAGATAATGTCTAGTTTAGCACCACCGTCAACATCAAGGTCCACATCCTGAGCGCTGGTAAGTTCCAGCTCATCCGAGACAAGTAAATTAACGTCGAGTGATCCTGATTCTTGTATATCGTGTGAGTCACATGAATCAGACGATTCGCTCTCTTCCTCCTGCTCAGGCGTATCTTTTGGCTGCTTCACCACCTTCGGCGCATACTGGGTCCTATGGTGAATTCCTTCAAGTGTGCGGTGTGAATGGGTCTGTAGCGCCAGAATTTGCGCCACATCCAGCGCGGCAAACGTTGACACACACAGCGTGAACGCAAGCATCTTCTTTACAGGCAGCACCATGATATCTTTATAGCCGGTGGAGATATAGCACGCAATTTTCGTAATGAACTGCTGCGATTGGCTAGACCAAGAAAAATCAGGTCAACAGTGAACCCACCGTTTTTCTTACGTACAGCTATTTAATTAATTGCATCCTATAATTCGCTCCATACTAAGCATATTCTTCGAGTGTTTTATAAAATTTTATTTAAAAAGCGAGAAAAGTAAACGAATTCATACCATTCATGACAAAAGTAGCAAGCCACAATACCAAAAACGGCTTAAAAGAGATTTTCATGAACAGGTCACCAAAGATTATAGCACAGCAAGACGTTTTTAAGAGTAAATACTTGAAATCAAACACACTATTACCCAAAACTTACCCAAGGTCAAAGGCTGTATTGTGTTTTGAAGTAAGACTTCAACTACATTAAATCTCCATCGATAGAAAAGGCTTGGCGGAAAAGCGAACTAAGGACCTTAATACAATCACTTTCAAATTAGCCATCTACTGCGCACGACATCAGTTCAACAGGTTAGGAGCCCAACAATTGACTTTAACGACGCGCCGAGTGCACAGACTCAAGTCAGCCTTGACGCAGGCCACGAAAGGGCCGCAGCACCTCCAGTAGTTGTGGAAGGCATGTTGACCACTCACGAAAGGGGTGACAACTCTCATACCAGGATTCTCGCTACTCTCCTCGACCTCCAAGCAAGGATGACGCAGACGGAAGGTTCGTACGTGGAGCAAGACGAGGACGAGCGCATGCTTAGGATAATCAAATCTGGAATTTTCATTTTGCACTCGATAGCGTCTCGGCACTACACCTGTGCACATCGATGCGCTAGGCAATTCACCATGCGCCAAAGGGATGACTGATGACGAGCATACGTGCAGCATACGCACAGTATGGACGCAGAACAGAAGACAAGCGGCACAATCAGAATGGCGGACTCCACACGGCGAGGTCCCACGGCAGCCCCAGCTTAGTGCATCACAGTATTGGACACCAGCAGACTATGCGCGATGAATCGAACCGGTCGCACAGCAAACGATACATGTACCGGATGAGGGTCAGTACAGACTCAAGATCCACAAGTGTGATGGAGCGAAGCTGTAACGAGAATTGACTTTTGATTTCCTGGACTCGGATCGAACATGCATGCGACTGATTCAGCGCATGCGACACGTATGTGGTTTCAAATGATCTGAAGATGTGAAGACTGACCTGCTAGGCCCCAACTAAGGTTGTACGGCCAAGAGGTACTACAACAAGCATGTAGCGGGGCTGCCGTAGCTCTTTGCTTAGATGACCTAAGCTAAGGTCATCAACCTTACATTCTTTACAAGAACGAGGACGAGTGTAGCAGATTGCAACCCGCTACTTCCAAGAGTACTTGATACCTTAGCAAAGGCAAATGAACTCTTCCGTTTAAAATTGAAACTGTATTTAATTTTTCTATCTGCGGCAGAGCCGCCTATATTTAAAACCCTAGGTTTTCCTGATTCATATAGAAATACCAATTAATATTGTAATACCTAATTAAAACCGAATTAATATGCATAACAACTGGCAGTCCCGCCACGTAGTGGCTTCTTGTTACGGTGTAGCCATACCATTGTGTACTCACACCGAATTGTGTAGTCCACACCTTTGTACGTTCACACAATCTTGTCTTACCCACCCTTTCATACAAGGGCACGTGTAACCCCGTTACACTCCCCCATTAGAATTGTGAATATCCCCAATTCACATTTGACGGTCGCCTCATACGAAGGTCGCGTGTCTGAGACACATAAACGTTCTTTAAGGACGACTTTAAACCGTTTACGATTTAAAGCTCTAGCTGTTAGCAAGAGCGCACGCGGGTCGAGCCCATCTTCTTCTGAACAGGGTGCATCTCTGGACAGTACGTCACGGAAAGCATATACCAAGCCCTCTGCAACCGAGCGCCACACACCGCGCCCGCCCCGGGCGACGGAATCCTCGTCAAGGATTCGAAGGAAGTCGAACATGAGTCAAATACTCCTTTCCCAGCATAGGACGACGAGGAGGATGGGGTACGCCAAAGGCGCGGCGTGAGCTTAGCTCGAACCTTGCGGACACCGTGTCCGTTCCCCAACCTCTCGACTTCCAGAGGAAGTGGTATCATTACCGATCGCCTCAACGAGGCACAGGAGCAGTAGTTAGAGCCTATCTACAGCGCGGCTCTCATGCGCTCGTATCCGCATTCGATCCTACACCCTCGTGTGGAATACGGCTTCCGCTCGGTGAATCCCGCTACTGAAGCGAACGCGATCACTCGATCGTTAGGCGCCTACGTAGTCGCCCCCGGCCATTACACAACTGAGCTTGACAAGCGGAACCTCTCCGAGCCCGCTTCTTGGTCCCTCAAAGAATCCCAATGGATAAACACCGCGCTCGATTTTGAGCTCAAGCGCTGCTGTACCCGCAATGCGGACTATTCCTGTGGTGCTCGCCCCTGGTGAACCCGCTACAGATGATGATCAGCTCTTTGAGCGATGGGTGCATCGGCACCAGAAACTTTCCCGGTGTTTCACTTACAGTGGAGCTACAAGGACGTGGAAGTACGCGTAGAATGCCATTTTCGATTTGAGTTTGCCAGACTCACGGCGCAACGCCAACTTCCTGCTTATTGTCGCCCTGCGACACATGGAATAATCCATCACACTCCCACGAGCTCTGTGGGTTCTCACACGGCTGAGACTACGACCACAGCAGCTCGAGGCCTTAGTTTGAGCTCAGCTCATGGCCGTCCGGCTTCCCAAGCTACTGCCGAGAGCGCGGGGCGCACGACGAAGCGAAGTGTCATAATCCTTCAGATCATAAGTGTCCACGGCGTCTAGGCAATCTTGCCGAAGTGGTCATAATCCGGTCTGCGTGACAACACATCAGCCAAAGCATCCTGCTTTCCTGGCTTATGCTTCATCTCAAAGTTATATTCTGCGAGAGGTGAGGCGACTGAGTCGCAGTGCGTAAGGACGCATGATCTGTGTAGATCACAAACGGCTTTGAGCCAAGCAGCTGCACCCTAAACTTGATAAGTGTACACTTTATCGCACGTAATTCCTTGTCGTGGACTGCGTAGTTCCTCTCCGCAGCCTTAAGCTGGCGAGACTCGAACGCGATCAACCGATTTCGCCATTCGACGCGGTGGACAGCCAATGGCAAGGTCCGAAGCGTCACAGACGACACTCAAAAGACGATCGGGGTCTGGCAACGCCAGTATTGGTGCACAAAGGAGGCTGTCTTTGAACCTGTCAAAAACCTCCCGATGTCATTCCATTATCTTTCTTAAGAAGATAAGACAATGAACGTGCCATTTCCGCATAATTTGCGCTATACTTATGCAAGTAGTTGGCGACGCCAAGCCACTTACGCAAGTCTTTTGGTTCTTTGGAACTGACCAGTCCACAATGGCCTTGACCTTAGCGGGATGCGCTCGAAGGCCACGCTTCCCAATGAAGCACTCTTCCGCGCTGAAGATGCACTTATCGGCATTAGCATACAGCTTTTTATTCGTGCGCATGCACTCGAGCACCACTCGCAAATGAAAGATGTGGCTATCCTCAGCTGTCCGTCCGTGCCCCGCACGACTGTGGACGAAGATATCATCGAAATATATCTCTGTATACGTCCGATGGTATCACACGACGATTAAATGTTGCTGGTGCATTTGCAAGCCCACGGGGTATCACCAGCCATGCCCAGAGTATCCCGCTCGGAATCGCAACTGTAAGACTTTTGGCCCTGGGAGTGGTCTATATAATAGGTACAGGGTAAAGTGATTTAATTATAATTGTAAAGCAAGGATATGTGAGCCATTATTTACATCGTTGTCATTTTCACCGTATCCGACTGACAGCTTTATATCCCTTCATGTATGCGTGCACACATAGTCATGTTTGGATTGGAGTTTTGAATTCGTGACCCATCTGGGCCTGCGAAATTACAATTTGTGAGGCCATCATCGAACAATAAGTACGATTTGCTGTGTTTAAGACTTCTATAATAGCTTGTCGTTCTACAGACACCCGGGGCTGTGTTTGTTTCAGCAATGTAGCAAATCAAAGATGCTGGTAAATTGAAGAGCTTTAGTCTAGCTAGTCGACCGACGTGAACTGGGATATTCGGCCCCAATATTGACGGTGTTGAGCAGCAACCACTTACGGAACATCTGTGACCGTTCCATTAGCATTTGTTAACTCCAAAACTGGCAACCTAAGGGATTCTGACTGTGGCGCACGAAGAAAAAAATGGTCGCGCCCTCACTTGGGTGAAAGTCTGCGGCCAGCTATATACACTCATTCTGTGCGCTAATATCATCACAGTAAGATTTATGATCCATCCTAACTTGTTTTGACGAATTTCTGCTCAATTATGTAGGAGTAACATTGACCAAGTCAGATACTGCGCTTACTGCGCTAATCTTTGCGACGGTCTTTCGTTCGTCTGCCTGACTAGATTCCTGTCTGCGCCGTCGAAGGTATATTCAGTCTACCCTTTTACGCTTATCAAGAAGATATCGAGGATTTAAATATGGCAAAAAATTGAGATGATTAGCAAGTGTTTGAACCGAAGTCACCAAATACTATTCAATATCTGAGACCCTCAGGAGATAAGTTGGGCGTTTCCAAATCTAACGTCAACAGCGTTGGATATGCTTTGATACACGACACACTCTGACGGGTATGTCGACTTCTTTATGCCACGTGCGATCACGAACGTGTTGCGCCTATACCAAGCTATCTGGATAGAAGTATACGATACAAAACAATAATTATACTGACTTTAACGCGAATGACCTGTGTATACCCGTGGCTCTGGGTTTTGAAATGCCAGGCTTCGAATAAAACCCGATTTTATAAGCAAACATTAAGCAGGTTGACTGCTTTTTCGTCCCAAAAATCATCTGAAGTGATCTTGAAGTTGTCAACAACTTGTCATATATTCTAACCATATCCAGTTCGCAGCTCATCTCAGAAAGCAAAAAAGATGGAGCTTCAGAAATCTTCACGAAAAATGGACTTATCAGGTCGACACGCTACGTGTAGGTATACCAATTCAAACTTCAAAAGATGGAGAAATTTGTAAATAACGTACACATAATTTGTTTTGTAGTTGTCAGTCGTAAAGATAACAATGTTGTCAGAAGAACGAAAGGACAAGTCCCGCTACATTTCGCCCGTTCAAAAGTAGGAGACGTGAATCAGATCAAGAGTAGCATACTTCAAAGTATGGTACATGCATAAAGTGCCCGCTGTTTTGCGTAGCATCTTCTTTGTTAACTTTATCTTTCGACATGTAATAAACTGATTCGGTGAGAAGGGTCGAACATACATGGTGATAGAGATACTCATCGCAACATTCACGTTGGGCGAAATTTGATGGAAGGCCATAACTTGTTTGACATTGGGAGTGTATCAAACTTGATAGCGCATTTTTTTCAGCCGTAGGATATAACCCTAGATCACTAAGATACCTTGAACGCTGATAATTATGTGGAGATGAGGTATCGAGGTCGTGAAGATGTCCAATCACATCTGCATGTGCGATGCACATAAAAAACGCTACATAGCACATATGGAGCATCTCAACAGCTATGGCGACGACGCTTGTACTTCAAGCGGATTGAAATATACATCCGCTGCAAAAACATCAAGAAAATGCCACTCAATGTGCATAACAGGCCTATAAATTGCTTCTAATAACGCATCAAAACAAATGAGGCAACTCGTCGCCAAAACGAGAGCTGAACCATAAAAAGAAAGATATCGGTTGTCCAGTCGAAACAGGCGTTTCACAGATAGATCGCAGGATCTAGCATAATTTGTGCTGCCGTTGAAGTCGGATTAAGAAGATGTCCAAAGAACGCAGATTAGACTTAGTTAGTCGGTTACACATCTTGATGTGATGACAAGTTGGGCAAATCCGTTGCTATGATTCCGGCCACTATGCCGTCGAGCTGCTCAGTATTAACTTATCTAATATTGTTTGACATTCGTCGTATATGTTTTAGTGCGCGGAAGAAAGACATTGGAGCTAAAGCCGCGTGGGTTGTAAAATTGTGGAACTTTTCACGCTCTTCCGATTCACCAACACCCAAATCAACATTCGATGGTAACGAGTAACCAATACCGAATTGAATTTTGGCAATGATTACTCGTTACCGTCGAATGCTGATTGTGCAGCTTAATCTTCATCATAGTTGGGAAAGACCGATAGATCAATACGGATGGATCTTGAAAATTGATCGACAGGTCACGTAAAGAGGCTGATCTTTGCTCGATTTACTTGACCCCAGTGTGATTAAGTATATTGTGAGTGCTGTTCTACTTTTATTCAGGTTCACAGCAAACACGGCACGAGAAATCACTGCTTGAGGCAGCGATCGATGCAGACAGGGCGCGGTGGGTCGTTGGAAATGACACCAAAACTGTTGTGAGACCGCATGGCATACCCGACGACGATGGAACCAATAAACCAAGAATCGATCTCAGTGAAACAGCCGATAGTACTGCGACGGACGAGAATCCCGGGTCTTGGAGCCAGCTGAATGATCCACTTGCTTTGATACACCAATTGACGAATGCATCGCCCCCCCTCCACATACTTGGGTATGTAACTACATTAAAGTACACAGCGCAGGCTTGTGACCTTTGCAGGCCGTGTAATGTGTCGCTGAGATGAGCACAGGCCAAGCGTTGGATAAACAAACCAGTTGTATATACACAGTATAAATATGCTACGGAAGCCGTTGTGAATCAACAAAGTAAACTTTGTCCAAGAGCAAATACTTCCCTATGATGACAATAGTTCCACATTCCTTGAGCGTGACACCCCAAAGACGTCGAGGAGCTCCAACGGACATGCAAACCAAGTTTTTCTGATGATGGATGCGGACAAAGTTACGAACTTAAATTTAATTTCTTGCGGCGAAGTTCCGGTTGATAACGTGGTATTGAAGGATACTTTGCTTCGTCTATGTCATGCTGAGCTGAATAAATGCGCAGCTGGGATCCACACACATGCATGTCTTTGCATCGACACGCGGTGAGAATCGAGCAAGAAGTTTTTGGCACCGCTCTTCTTTAGAAGCCATTGGATCGTTGATTCTAGTATGCTCTCCTTGAAATTTTTGTCCTCCGGTGCCAAGCGATAGTGTGCCGGTGGTCTTCCCGGAGAAGGTTACCGAGCCACTCGACGTGCCGAAGGCTGCACCGATCGGGTGTGAAAATGCCAATCGGTCACAATTAGATGCATCTAGGCAGTAAGCTAGGTAGTAAAAAATAACAATTTCCTTCAAAAGGGTAAGAAAGTACATAGGATCCTTTGAGTAGCACCTAGTTATTACGTCAAGGTGTTTTCTGTGTTGTTCTACATCTTCTATGTAAATTGTGGGAAGATAAAACAAAAAATTCCAGTACGACAAATTTCTGACATCTTGGATGATGTCTTGAATGTAATTTATACTAATCAATGCAAAATGATAGTTTCTACTTACGAATTCTTCATCGATGATAAGACAGATGTGTCTTTATCAACCAAAGTGAGTGGCGCGAGCCAGGCCCTCCCCAAGGAACTTATCACGAAGTTCTAGGTTCCCAGGAACTGATAAGATTGACCTAGAATGATCGACTGCAATTGCGAGATTCTTGTTATCTCTCACTAGGCTAGAATTACGGTCTAGAATAGCTCGAAGTTACTTGCAGCGCTGGCGCAGAGATCTTACGCACCAGTGAGCGCGGACTTTCTGGTCCCACGGAGAAATGAACGAAAGTGATAAATTTGGTCCAGCTGCGAGCATTTGTTTGTCGTGGTACATTAATACTTTACGCATGGCTTGCGTGCGCCTGTAAGTTTGATATGGCAGATCTCAGACTCGCTTTGTGATTTTTGCCTCGCCCAATTGCCTGTGGCATCCCTCAGCGATTTAATGCCTCGTAGCTGCTTTGAGGCTAAAACTTCTAACGGTATAACATTTGATTGATAGTGATACTGCCTGGTATAAATCGAGCGCGTTTCATCTGAGATGTTATTATTACTTCATAAACTCGTATGAAATGAATGAGCTCACAATCACCGCCAGTTTTTGAAAATATAACTCAGCTCCTTTGTTGCTATGCTCATGAACGGTCTAATGTATTACAGTTGCAATATATCCGGAACGTACAGCAGACACTGCATGTGTAAGTTGGTTAATTGCAGTAATAAATTCCTTATCGCTCAAAAACAATCCTCGTGTGTGTTTTGCCAACTTCTGACATCTTGCTAAGGTGAGCTACTAGATTCTCTTATCTGATAATGAGCACCAGCAATAATGTCCGCCCTAGCTTTGCTGCAAAGAAAAAATCTTGCCTAATGTAATGATTATCAGCCAGCCATGTTGAAAAAAAAAACTGTCGAGAAACGGCTCGGCTGCATAAGCACATGCCATACCTTCCTGATGGCAACGGGCTATGTAATCTAGCTTAAAAGGCTCACAATGGCCATAATACCACCATTTACGCGTAATGTACAAGACGTCCATATGTATGGATTCAAAGGACTGTGCCAAAGTTCGTAGGCTAGTCAATAATACCACCACTTGAGGCGGAGGTCTTACCAGTGTTTAGCATATATAGTTCCTCGCGCGCCCTCCAGCTTCTTCAACAGCTGCGAATAGTACGCAATTACATGATGCCCCACAATTTATCACGACTTTCCACAGACAAATAGAGCCTAACGTTGCTATCATCAACCAACAACACTAGTTTATGAGCCCCACACTTCGAAGTGAAAGTCGCTTTTTTTGGTCGAGGCTCCAATGAACAAGATCTCTCCTGGGTACGAGGAAACCCAGCTTTTTTTTCAGTATGTGCCCTGTGCCTTCCAATACTTTATTTTTTTGATGAGGGAGGTGTCGTCCTCAGTCTCATGGGAGCCCGGTCATTTTGAAGCTCTCGGCCTTCGGGCTTTCAAGGCGCAGATAATTCTTACTCCTGCAGATAATTTATATACTAGTATTGAAGAGCTGATCCGCAATTAGGATATCTCTCTCTTCCTCAGCTCACCCATAGATTTTTTTTACGATTCATAAACCATCTAACCCTCGTGGTTCGTATACCACATTAATAGCAATGCCTACCGCTTCTCTAACAAAGAAGATGTGGACACGGAAGCTTATGGTAAGAACCACCGCTCAAAATCACTCTCAAACATGATCGCCCATATAGAGGGTAAAGGGGTATGATCCCGTTGCGGCGATAAGCTTTTCTGACCTCGTGACAGAATTTGCAATTATTACTTGATGGCCGCTTTCGATCTTCGAAAGTACCCGGTACGACTAACTAGGCGGTGCGATCACCTGCGACATAAGTCGTTATTACATATTGTTTTTACACGTTAGTGTTTTTATCCAGGCACGACCTCTTAAGTTGAAGCAATCGCGACGCGCAATTTCCATGTTTGAAGTACTGCCAAAGTGATGGTAATCTTAACATCTCTCACCTAAGGGAAAAGATCTTCTGTCGTGGTTCTTAAAAGCCGGGACACTCAACAAGAACAGCCTCAAAGTGGGTACTATATATTCCCAGTGGTGCTTGGCTGGGGTTTTGCTAAATGTGGCTTACCAGCGCATACTAGAATCCACAAAGCAAGAAATTGCCACTATCAGTCCTCCAGCCGTTGGGTTTTTGTTTCCGTCGGGAATAACGAAAGCTACAAGCAATTTAAGCTAGTCTTGTTTTCGTTGGGGTCAGTTCTTGACCATCTCCGTCCGCCTTTTTAGGATATTTACTTACTTACAACTTAAGCGTGGTAATGACTACCATTACTCTTGATTTCAAAGGGTTAGCCGAGTTCTCTGCATAGTTGAAATTTTGATCGCAAAAGTCCGCGCCACAATACGCACATAATTTGGGTTTAAAGCTTCTTCCCGGAGCAAAATCGAGAGCACCCATGATAATAAGGCTTCATTTAGCTCTGCTATATTAGGAGCACATTTGTTGAGAAATCATGCTGTTCAGATATGTAAACGCTCTATCTCAAAACGAAACTATGTAAATTTCTTCACTTGCGATTACCAGGCTACTTATAGCACAAGCTTATCCTTTGAATTACCCATCATCTTACTGTACTAGATTTATACGATTGTACCAAATGTGTTAATGCACGTACATATGACTAGAGACATTACCTGATTCATAAAGCGTATTCAGCGAATTACACAGTCTTTCCAGGCTTCGGACACATCGGTGCCTCCATTTCTTCCAATAATCGAAGAAGGGTCTCGAAATGTACACGCACGCTTGCAAGCACCCTAAGCACAGTCTTGACTTAATCGACGGAAGAACACCAACGCGTTTTCAGGTATAAGAGGGTATCCGAAACATCCCTAAACACGACACGCTCGCATGTGCTCGAGTCGAAAATTTGATAAGAATATTATAAGATTGCAGCTGAATATGAAACGAAATTACGGTTCCATAAACAACGCAAATAACACGAGTAGAGCTCTTTGATACTATATTATGTAAGATCTACAGATGCAGAGGTACAATCTGGGATTCAAGATTAAAAAACCTGAGTGCACTAAGGTTGAACGTAGGGGAACCCTTAAAATTTTGAAATTGAAGTCCTCGAACAAAGTTATCTGCGCAGTGACTAGCTCGCGCCACTTAAAATGATTTAGACATATCGGTTTCATAACTAGCATAGATTTGTAAACTGACCGGTACAGAGGACATTCATAACATCATGTAATAAAGTCACAGGTGCATAAGGGATTCGTCTGTCCTCATTATGCACATCGAAGATTATATGTACCACAGAGATCCACCCACCTTAATGTAATGGCTAGGTGCTGTTCGTAAAATACTACGTTTTCATTTGACCGTTGGAAATACTGTGAGTACTTCTTGCTCGATCCGCCCAGCTGCGTCATATCAAGACTAGCTGACATGGTTGTTATAACACAAACTGCTTGTGATTATACACCACAGCGAAAAGCCTCAACGCCGTTGTTCCTTAAGGCCATGGCGCTCAGCGAGGGGTGGATCATGGGATGAACGAAAAGCTCGCTAATTCCCGCGATGCAGCCGAGGTGCCCTCAATTACGGTTATCCTGATACTTGTGCCCTTACTCAAAAATATGGCCAAATGCATTACCGGTCAATAGAAACTACTCAAGAATGAGGCGTTCTGTAAGCTCCACGTTAATATTTGTGCACACCATTTCGCCCCCCTCCAATCGAAAATATACGAAGGCGTGTGATTTGATAGCACCTGCTCCGCGAGCCAAACTCGTCAGTTAGCACATGCGAAAGCTTCAATGTACTTGGTAGGCGTATTTTTTTTTAATTTTATCAAAATTTGCTTGTCAATGCGGATCACTTACATGTGGGCTTTCCTCTCAAGACAAAAGTAATATAAGGTCTTGAAAGTTGCTCCGAGAGACTTCTGACCCCGCAAGTAAAAACGTATTTCTTGCGACAAGAGCAATAAAGGTTAAATAAGCCAGTACTTGTAGATACCATATTTCTGGCTTTTGGTGTGGGTAAATGTGCCGAATCGTGCCTTACTCAATACACGCACTAAGTGATGACGGCACCTGGGTCCTCTCACCCATCTTACGGTCAATCAGGTCAGCTTTGGTAAAGTATACGTACAGTCATTATTTATAGGTTGATATCGCTAAATTACCACGAGGTGAATGCTTACCTCTCCAAATGCTTGCTGTTGGTAGACAATTTCTTTTGTAAAAGTGCAATGGGACGCCTTGCTTTCTGGTTAAGTAAGCATTTAATTTCGGTATCGCAAATAAACATAGATTAGATTCCCGTGCTATAACCAGGACTGAATTGAGGGTCCTTAAGATAAACAACACTGTTAGTGTGCTGCCCAATTTTAAATGTACATAGATTTGATATTAGTGCTGCTTAGACAATACAAATATATAAGATTTACTCTTCCCTATAAAAACTACTTTTATCTAACATTCAGCCAGTAGCCACCGTTTATCAATTTTTAATAATTTGATATTCAGCTACTTTCTTGCACCGGCTTGAATGTGTAATTCGTGTATTTGCACCGTTTTTTTAATTGTACCAATTGTGAAAGGTCTTAATACATGAAATAACAGGCTCACTCCGTTGCAAACGCTCCAAATTAGATGAGGAACACTGCGGCTCTCACATTCATTTTGCCTTTAAAGAAAACGGTCACAAGTGAGCACTCCTCGAGCGAACACTAAGCGTGGGGTTGTACTTCACTTTATGCACTCCACCGTGCTCTTTTGAGATTACCAGCATTGAGAGTTTGCTCTCGCGCACCATTTCAGTGGCTCAACAAGCCTCTGGTAAGAAGGGTGGCTGCGATCGACACGCTGAGATAGAACTCGATGTGATTGCCGAGGCGTTTTCTAATAAAAATGGCCCGGTTACTTCCTGCTTCGTACTTATCACCTGTGACCTCACCTGGTCATACACGACCTAGTCGCTTCTAAAGAGTTGCAATATGCGCTCAGCCTTCGTGCTAAATGTTTCTCGGACTCCGTGTGCTTTTTCATCGGCGAAATGTGTCCATACTTCCTCATGGAGCTCAAGACGATGTCAAGCTACTTAGAAACAAACTAAACTTGCTCAAGAGCTCATTTTGCTCTATTGCAACATCAAATCAACGCTGATGACGCCGAGGCCACGGTTTTACACATTTGAGGTCACTCGCTGCTTTGGTAAGAAATTCTATATGTATGTGAGTGTGGGCTTTTCCTTACATCCAGAGCAAAAGGAGCACGAGAAAGTCGCTCACTTGAATCTCTTAAGAACACACGCAGATCTCCACTTCTTTGAGGTACCATTTGCCTTTGAGTTGCAGCGGTTTGTAAAATCTGATTCCTTCATTAGTGATGCCATTTGTGAATTCAAAGCTGGCAGAAGGCCTATAATATACCGAAGTCAGTTCGTGCCCTGGGTGAGGAAAAGACGCTGTCTCAATCGCCTTAAAGCTGCCTAAGTTAGTTTAGTAAGGCAGACTACAGTCTAAAGCGTTGTCTCGTGCATGATTTTGCAAAGTACAAAGCAAAATGCGGGCGTCAATATGAGAATCCATCACCTCAATTTTCTGCTGCCGACAGACCGACGGTATTAATTATCGCAAGGTCGGTCATCACTCACTTGTAAAAAGCCGGCTGCGACAAACGACTTTGTCTCTTTTTTGAGGGAAATAAACCGAGTGTGCATAAGGTCGTAAAACCCCCCAGCACCAGGACGACACCCGCGCTTTCATTTTGAGAATGAGGTTTTTACTTCATCAATCGCTGGTGTAGTCCTGGTGGGCCCAGCGGAACCCCCAAACATCCACGTGAAGTAAACTGCTCATATTGTCAGCGCTGCCTGAAAAGATCGACCCTACTGAGGCAAGCTCTCGTGATTTTTCTTGGTTGTGACGACATTTAACAATTCCCGATAGTGACATCTTGCGTCCGAGACTGCTATGTGCAATATCTCGAGTTTGCTTTCTGAACTTCGCCATCACACTGCAGTCCAGCACCATGTCGCTGCTTTGGAGCATAGGATTTCGTAGCTTATGGGTATGATACAGACGATGCTTCGATTTACAACAGAGCTCTTCACTTCTGTCTTGCTTGTAGGAGTGGGGCGGTAATATGGCTGTAGTAAGTCCACATTGAGCGCTATTTGCGTTCGCATTCTTTTGAATAGTATTATTCAATCCCTCCTTCATCTCAACCGTGACCAGTCCGACGTAACACAGTGGCAACTAAGACTCATAGGCCGCATACATGCATATGTAGGTAAATTAATTGTAATTAAGCTTTCTCCCCACTACATATTCGTGTGTGTGTGTGTTCCACCTTCCTCTGACATCGCCGTGTTGCTTTTGGTTGACGTGATTCTCAGCCATAGCCTCCCAAACCCAAAGCACGGCGTTCAATCTTATTGATATGGAACCACTAATTTTACCTTGAAGTTTCGCTGGGCTGATTCAAATCTGATCACCTCATTGAAAGACCAAAGCAACTATTTGGCGGTGGTAAGGGCATTTGAAATTTATCCTCATCGCACATTAATGTGGAATAAGTCAAAAGAGGCGCGTACTGTGCTCTTCACCGCAAACTTAATGAGTGGGAGCAACTCGCTCCCTTGGTCTCTCCGTGCAAAACTTTCGAGAGATATCCTCTACAATGCAATAATGCGATTCGTTCCACCATTCAATTCTGATGGTTAGAAGTTTGCTTTTCCAATCTGTTGCCGATTACCTCCAACAACGATCGTCGAAACCTTGCTTTATAGCGTATATGTCAAATCGATATAATAATAATCGGCAATCCATGCTGACCTAATGCTTTGTCGCTTAACAGCTGCTGTATCCACAACGGTCCCAATATTGCTGGCAGCAGCTAAGCAAACCATTTTACTCAGAAGAAAGATAAGGAGCATAATATTGATACAATTTTGAGACTTCCGGAAGCTTCTTTTGAATGATTAACAATAAAGTAAATATTTTTGACCTGCCAGCTTGCTGCTGGTATTGGCACGCTGACCATGGTGCAACCTCATACGGCGTGAGTTTAGTGCTGACAAGTTTCACAAATACTTCATAATGCGCTTTCATGTTAGGCTGCCAGTACGAATCATTCATCGACAAGATGGTATTTTCTTTTCCAATGTGATCACCAATTTCGAACTTCGTACAGCATATAATCAGGTAGGCGCCATTAAACACAGAGTGTCGAGTAGTTCAGTACTTTAATACAAAAAGCTTCCAGATATTAATTCAGGCGTGCATCCGCACGCTTCGATGGAGCGATATATGGGCTCTCAAATCCTTAAACCATTAAAAGATGTCAGCAGCGCAACAAACTTTATGTTCGATTTCTATGCTATACGCATCGTTTAACCGATCGTAAGTGTGACAGGCGACGATTGATTTCCGGGGCGACGCAAAAGCCCATTCTCAACCACATCTAGCGAGCCCGTCATATACCATATCTCGAGTTTAATCAGTAAAATATTTATAATGTTGCCATCATCTTTTTAAAAATGCGGTGATGTGACGACGTCGCTGTGCGCAAGGACGCATGAGCCATATGACTCACACAAACAAATAAGAGCCTCAAAAATGCAAAGTTGACAAGCGCATACTTCATTGTAGTTGTTTCTTTGAAAATTAGGGTACATTTTCGTTTACGCTTCAAGCTGGCAAGATTTAATCGCCATCACGTATTATAATCTGCTGAAAAATATACATCCAACTACGAAAGCCGAAGCGTTGCAGACGACATGAATTTGTCACTCTTGATTTGAATGAGCTTGGATCAGGGCACGAATGTGGTAATTATTAATAGCCATTACGCCATGCAAGTGAGCACTATTTGAAATCCGTTTCAAGTCGATTGGCATGAGGACATGGGGTAGGCGTGATATACACTATATTTGTAAGTATATGGCCTGACCAAACCACTTCCTCAATTAAACTTTGAACAGAGGCACTGACAGTGCTGCTCAGTAAGGCAACACTGAAATGGAATTTCATCGGCGCTGATGATGCATTTGACGAAATTGACAAGTAGCTTCCTTATGCGCATGCATTCGAGCACCGCTCAGGGTTGTGCACAAACAGGTTTGTGCACGATCAGAATATGGCCTGAACAGCTGTGCAACCAGACAATTGAGCGTCACTAGTGCATTAACCAATTCCTGCGGTGAAATCAGCCACACTAACAGGATCTCGCTCGGAGTACTCACTACAGTGAGAGGGATATTGCTGTCTCACATCAGTAGAAGAAAATAACCATCAACTAAATTGATGGCAACCAACGAAGTACCGATGGCGTGCTTTATCCAGTCCATCCTTTTAGGTATTGAATTTTGCGCCAGTATCGTAGCTTCATTAGCTGATGAATACCGCAAGTCGTTCAGTCACTAATTCCGGCTCCTGACTTGGCAATCGCGCTAATTAAGTAGATACAGAGGATTGATTGGGATGCTAAAATGTCTTGTAAACAGATAATCAAGCACCTGGTACTCTATCCTCACACACTTTACAGTTTTAATACGACTTGGTAGTCGAATTAAGATTAAGTGCTACCAAGTGCGACAAGGTCGCCGTGTACCTCGCACATAGGAAAAATAGAATCCTTGTGTCCGCCTCGACCAACTTAGACGAACGCTCTATCGTTGATGGAAATTAGAGGGCTTCTGATAACGTAGTATTTTTGCTCATCCAGTAAAAAAAGACTTACTTAACATTGAGGTATATAACAAATTCTGAATGTGTATGTTTGCCGCTTAACATGTAGCTAGCATAGTACGTATCCTCTGTATTCTTCCTTTTCAGAATTCCATTCCCTTATCCCGAACAACACTGAATCTAATACTCTTGCACATCGGTGATTTGAGCTTGGCTCTAATCACAGGGACACTAGCAACAATAGTGTAAGACCATAAGAAAATACGCAGATCGTTTCGGTCAAAGTGTTTGATAGATGGCCGATTTCTGCGACAGACGCTAGTCATGACTATTAGAGCGAGTCGACGTGCCGGCGTAAGACAAAATGCTTACACGAGTCAGCTCGTCCTCTTCTGTCTTAGTTTTATCCCACGTGAAATTATATATCGACCGGAGCATTTACCAGTGATGTAACAAGTATCTGCTGAAGTCGAAGGTTTACCCTTAATTCATAATAACGACAGTCTGGGGGTCCACTATGAGAAGATATCGCTCAGTTTGGTGGTGCTTACAGCTTGCAGCCTTGATCTTTATCTCCCTATGATAGGAGACTTGGTCCTTAGGTAAAGGAGTTCATCACTAGCAATCAAAGTAACCTTATTTAGGCTCGAGAATTGGCCGATAGCTGTACGAGTAAGCTCACGAGATTATTCAGAGCTGATACCAGCACGAATTGAAGCTGAAGGTTGTTGTCCTCTTCGACAGCGACTTTACGTTTTCCATGGCTCGTGGCGCTCCAATCGGATTATACCAAGGCTGTGAGCATATATCGATTTGAGGTCTAAGCCTCAGCACGTTTGCACCCTAGCAATCTCATTATCAGGATGTCAAAAAAGTTATGATTCGTTGACATGTGCATTTATAGCAAGAAGCACATATGTAATATAATAGATCAGACAATTGGCTGAGTCTTGAAGCACAACGAGCTCGCAACCCACTATAGAGTGGAGTCTGACCTTATTTCAGGCTTAGAGTTTAATCAGCATGTTCGTCAGTATGACCATAAATGATATCAGCATAAATTGAAAGCAGACGTGAGTGCCCGTTTCGACGTCAACATCGCGCTTCTTCGCAAAACCAAGCATTGAGCGACACTCTAGTCCGACGTCTGTTTCGTCGGTATGACGATGAAAGATATCAGCATAAGTTGAAAGCAGACGTGAGTGCCCACTTCAACGTCAACATCGCGCTACTTCGCAAAATCAAACATTAAACGACGCTCTAGTCTGACGTCTGTTAATCTGAAACAGGATCAAAGCCGCAAATGATGTATGGTGTTAATTCTTCTTTTCATAATGCTCAAAGTCGAGGTTTGAAATGTCAACACTTTCCAGGTGACAATGCCAACAATACGATTTTAATGGCTGCTGATTATATCGGAGCTGCTGAAATAGCTGTAAGCGTAACGCCTGCAAAGTTTTACTGTGGGTTTGTACACTCTCACAGGGTGAAAATAACACGCTCTATTACTGACTGCAACCGAACCCTGGCGTAAGTGGTGTGTATCTTGACCTAGTTCGGGGAGGTACCTGATTCGATACCAAACGTTCGTCACATTTTCAGCAGCTGATAAATCATGTCACATACGTTAGTGGTGCTTCAAGACGTGCTACAGCGTCATAGGATCGAATAAAGGAGGTTGGATATAGGTCACAAAATTTATGAGCAATCACACCCCTGTGTCACGACTGCCCTGCAACCCGCACCAAATTGGGTGTGCGATAGTTGGGTTGGAGGAGACTTAACTGACCAAATAGGACACATAGTGTAATATAGGGTACGGCACCCGGTTTTAAAATGGGTCGGATAGCTACCAGCACCCCGCAGTAGCGAAACCTTACCCCTAGCGTGTTGATTTAGCTGAACTCTCTTATATTGACTGCAGATCCATGTTAAGAGCGTCGTCTCGGACGCGGAACTGTTTCTGAGGGGTCGAGTCGATCAAATTTGTTATCATGACGTAAAAAAGTTATTATCGGCCCTACTGAAGGGCGCTATAATTTATGCGCTTGTCAGCAACTACACTAAGCCTTTCAGGAAAAATCAAGGTCATTCGAGATGACACCGACTTCATCGCCAGAATCTTCGCAGAAAGCCTATCTAATCTCCGCATCAGAGAGATTTAAAATAGTATACTCTTGGGCTACCACCAGCTAAATATCTACCACTCTTTTTTTCATTACCGTAGTCTCGAATATTTATATGCGTGCTCTTCATAAATCGGCTGCGACACGTAATAATCCCATTGGAACATGACCCGGCATCAGTTGTCAGCGGTTCACATACTCAACACCCGCAACCCGCATAATACTTCTTGCAGAACGGGTGACACCTGGGATTCGAGGTATATACGACATACACTACACCTCGAGTACCGGCTTCGAGAAACCGTACGGCCGTGTGAATCGACCAACTGGTGGGCTACTGAACTTTGAAGAGATATGTATTCGGAGGGTGAAGCCACTGTTTACGTTGGCGGAATTGTGCTTAGATGTCAGCGGCAATATTATCGTTGTGATGTAGCCCACTCGCGGAGTAAAGAAAGGTTCTTCGCGAGTGACGCGATCTACCCATTCCGCCTTGCTTTCAAGCAACAAACAACTCGAGCTCGTCTAGTGTCCTGCCAAATATGTGGCGACAGATATAATGTGGACATGACGACAATACAACTATTCAAATTCAACCGAACTCTCTACGCATACTTGAAAAGGCGGATCTTTGGTTCAACTTTGCGTTGACGCCACCTCGCACTCAATACGCTTCGACAACAACCAGCCTGGCGCGCTGGTCATCATTAGCTTGCAGCCGAACACATCTGTTGATTACCTCGTACTGGCTGTACACTACCTGAAGGTGAGCCGTGTTCTGACTCTCGATCAGCGATCGCTTCATTTAACGTCAATACCCAATCCACCTGCTTCTGGCCGGTGTGTGCATGTTCTACACCAAGTGTTTTGGCTAGTTTTTAAGTTTGCTGATCCATCCAACGACACCCTCGCCTTTGAATATGACCTACACGACTGTCGAATTCCATTTGTTTCTGCTGTCGTGGGAGAGCCCAGCTAACTTTTTAGCTACCTAGACGGGACGGTCTTAACGCATATTGGGTCAAGGAGAGGCGTGAACTAAGACACTGACCCCACAACTCCCCCATACCACTGTGTGTATGTTTGACGATGCTCTCAGACAATAGATACCAGCTCTGGAAATATAAAATCAATCCGCCCGCGCGCTCTCGTAATGAATATCGATACCGCTGGTCCGATGTAGCCTAAAGACAAAGGGCATCTCCATGACTCGTTGATTATGTTTGCTAGAATAATATTAATTACGATGTAGCTTTTGACCTAGCAGATCTGAGATAAAAACACGGCCCTGCTTTGTCAGATGAAGCAACTTTTTTACCAGCTGAACTCTCGCAAAAGTGCTCGAGACAACATATCCACAACTCTAACCGCTGTGGCCGTAGAGCGTTTCGGAACCTATGACTTTAGACACTTCGATCGATAGACCTTAAATAATATTTGAGGACTCAATAGAACTAATCACGAGACATCCGTCTCGGTTACATATGGTAGTCCAGGCGTCAAGAACGACACAGCTTTAGAATCACGATCTCTTAATCCGCAAGTTCAGAAATTAGAGAGCCATCATAGATTCTATCATGTATATTAACGTTAAGAAGACCAGGTTTTCTCGCCGATAAAAAGACATGCAATGATATCAGAATCCGCAGATGAAGCTCCACACTCGATGGATTTGTCTCTTAGCTGTGGCAGCTTGTGCTCAGCTGATCAGCACAAGGATCAAAGACTATTTCAGGCGAAGTTTTTGCTCAATATCAATGAAAGCGGCACAGTCGTGTTTGCTTTTGACGAGAAACGACCCCCCCAGCTTCATTTATCGCTCCCTTGGCATAACCAGGATCTAGACAAGCATTAACAGAAGGAATATCCAGACCGTCGATTAAAATGTAATTTGATTGACGACATTCTCCGCGTCCAGGCTTCATCGCACCATATCTGCAGACAGCATTGGAATCTGCTTGTCATTCATCCATATCATGACTATTTTCGCTGCATCTCCATTGCAGAGAATATAAAATGCTACAGTCTGTGTGATAATTTGTACATCACTGGACAGCACCTTCAAGCAGATACGAAGTATGGTCCGAATTGTATCTCCCATGCGACGGGAATCGCAAACGATCCGCTCATACTTCGCGCAGATTTTCGGTTTGTATGCTCCAATCAGGGGTAAATTTAAGGGCCTGAAGGACCAACAGGACTAAAATTTTTACATTATACAATATCAAGTATGAATATTATCTGTATTGCTTGACGCAAGATTGATCGCCCACTGGTACAACTGATTTTTTTTTCTTTTATGGAGCCCCACAACCTCAAAAGACCGTATACACACATTTTATTTTGCTAATTGAATGCAATCGTACGAGAGGTGCAAGGTATAATGAAACAAAATTATACCACTTACCCTGCTTAAATCTATCTCGATTGTACAAGAAGCAATAGGTAGAAGCACGCAAAATTGGGTATTTACCACATGACATATCCCACTAGGATGTGGGCAGCACTAAGATTCAATTTTGCGAAAAAGAGCGCCGCGTGCGCTTGAAGTCTCTCTACATTTTGCTCTTTACCGTCCTTGCTTTCCTAATCATAATTGCACCGGATGTTCCCTCATGTACGCTTAAAACAGATGTCTCAGCGAACCTCGTAAAATGGCATACTCCGCGCTAAAGACGCTGTCAAAACAATCTTGACGAGGATGAGAAAGATGTTTTCTAAGAGAAATTTAGCAATGACTCTTCTAGTCAGAACCAGATACCTCTTCCCACACAAAAACACACGGCATGGACCTGCATCAAGAAAGAGACACTTAATGCGCTCAGTGTCTCTTCTGCAAGAGCTACAAAATTTATGCCTTAGTTCAATGGCGGGAAATGTTGCGATAAGGCATTGTTAAAATCATGACGGTGCTCAAAAAGGTACCGACGGGTGATGCAAACAGTCTAGCTTGCTTATCTAAAGGCGCAAATGGTAAACCGAATCTTGCCAAAACCACCATTTCGTCGCAATTTTAATTGTCTGAAGCTGGTTGCCGCGTTGATGTTGAGCCATTCCACTCGTCTATGTTTGTCGGTGCACCATTTAGGTTAAGAGGGATCGCCAGAAAGTTTCACCGGGAGCGCATTATGACCCCAAAGGTCACAATCACTAATTGGACGAGAGTGTTGATAAATACTACACTCGAATCACGAACTAGGTGAGTATGAATTGGGTCTCACCTGCGGCACAGCTTTTCAAGACAAGTTCAGTGAAGCAGATGTCAAGCTAGAGTGTTTTTAACTGCTGGATCTTGCGAAGAGCAAAGCTCGACACGCCAGTCAGGGTAGAAAATCATCATCATCCCCAGTTCGTGGTGCTGACAGCTCCATTCGTCTTCCTATGACAGACTTTAGGCTACTAATCAAGTACGAGCTATGTTTGCGATTGCTCTGTTGAAATGGGAGAAAGACCCTCACCATTTAAGCTTATAGGAGTTCAAGCTCCTACTTCTGCAACACTTCCGCGTGCCATTACCGCCTATGACCTTGCACACCCTCAGTATATAACTTTTCTGCAAAAGAAACATGGTCGCCCATGGTAGCCCTCTTCCCCTTATATTGCTGATGACCATGGTTGCCCACTAGCCCGCAATTTCCACGTGAAACGAGTCACCTTTTTCACATCGATCAGCGATGGCGAAAATCATTTTTTTCTGTAGCTGTCTCTCATTATCCGTGTTGGATGTATTGGCACGCTGACTTTCCTTACAATTCTCAGCGTGTGTCCAAATCTACTATAGTCCTGGACTCGGATGTTCGCTCTCTAAGCTACTATAAAACTAATGTGTTTAGAGTTGCGACTCAAGGAAATGTGGCAAGTTGCTCCTTATACAAAAATCACATCTGACTAGCTCAAAAGACCGAGATAGACTAAAGGAATTAGTACCCCGGAAGATGTATTTCCATTCTTCCGTGGATACTTAGGGTATAACTTAATCTCATCTTTACTTCAGATGCAAACGGACCGGCATAGCTTGGTCGCAACTTAGTCTTGTAGTAATACTAAAAGTTTGTGCAGGTGATATGCATTCAGCAAATTCTATGCCTCATAAGATATTCGGGTATTTTCTGCCTGCCTCTAGCATAGTTTTATTGTTTTTACACATCAGGATGATGACTGAGCCACAGGGTCGCGTACTTTCGGCATGGAACTCAATCTCATTCAGATAAATTGCATGTTTTGCTTCTATTTAAAGCCGAGCTGATATCAGCAAGTCAGCTTTAGTCAACAGCATCCCCATAAAATTGGTGCTACTTCGTAGTGGTGTCAATTACACAATAGGTTTCCACGATAATTTATGTAACACAGGTTTGAGCCTGTGGTTCATAAACAACATTATACAACGCAAACTCTCTGAGTGGTAGCGACTCGATCCGGCACCGTGGTCTCTTCACAAATGCACTTCTGAGACTACCCGTCTCCACTCAATTCACGCGTTCGCGGATGTTCAGAAATTTTTTATTTCTAATTTGTTGTCGACCATTTTCAATGTTGTTTGCCAAAATCTCGTTGTAAAGTGCGAATCTCGATAAGATAAATCGCTACCGGCGAAGCGTGTAAGAAAACACATTGCCGAGGAGCAGCTTGTCTTTGTTCTCACCTGTAAGACCATTGCTGACAGCAGCGAGATAAGTCATTTTGCCGGTTCGTAAAGAACGCATGCTGGTACTATAGAGCCCTTTTTTTGGAAAGACCGAAATGTGAGGTAATTACTTATAGTCTGTCAACAATCTACCCGAACCGGTAGGCTGGCGAAATGTGCCGCCGTATGCTGCGAGTGTTTCACCCGTTGGCATGTCTTACATGCTCGCACATTTGTGCTTACCCCTTTTACATGTTAAACAGCCGATACAAAGCGTTCACTAAGCACAATATATTCAATCTCTTGAGGTGGCTACTGAAAAAATATCATTTGCTTCATACATTGTTCCGTATCGGATGTCCTGGTCGTGTGTCATCAGGGTCCAGTGGTCCAGAAATATGATACGGTAAGCCCTGAAAAAATAAATAGTAATGCAGCTTGTAACCACGCGAATTTATAAAGCGAAACCTGAGTTTTAAACTCATCGCCTCTTGAAACTTTTAGCTACGCAACTCATATCTGACCCGTACAATCTGCGTATCGTCTTATCAATTTGCGATATCACCACTGTGAATGCGACAGTCTGTCAAAGCGACGCGAAGCGCATCAGCCATCACAGAAACTAACTTGGCTTATAACTTCTTTCAAATATATACTTGGCAAAAAGAAGTGATCATCTTTCACTTCATTGTGAGAAATGTGGTACCGACGTTGCTACGTGCAGCGACCCATACAAGGTATCGATCACAAACGGCTTAGAGCCAAGTAGGTTCATCTAGATATGGGCATACGTTGTTGCTAGTGGCCCTCGGAATGAATGGGGCGGTACTCATCATCAGATTTAATCATGGAGAAACTCAAACACGATGGTGCGTTCATTTAAATTGTTATCTGCTTGGAGTATTGCACAGTTTATTGCAAAAACAGATGCGACACAGATGACGAGAAATGGTCGATCTGGATTCATTTGTAGCCACGCGCGAGGGTTTCTTCTACAGCCGCCTCTCCTACCAGATTACTTTTTGATATAAGCTAAATCAACTACAACATTTTAACAAAATGTTCTTATCGTGATTTCGACTGAAAAAGTAATGAAATTTAGTCTTTCAATAAATTGATTATAGATCTCTCGCATCTCTAACCCAAATAGACATGCTCTCCAATAAGATTGGTGAAAGGTTTGTGCCATGATGGCAGCGTTTGCAGTATACTTGTGCGAACAGTTACCAGGCCAGGCCATTTCCTTCGCTATCGAGCTTATTGATCAGGTACTAGCCAATCCGCGATGGTTTAAACCTACGCGGAAATTGCTCGAAGGTAATGCTTGCAATGATGCAACGCAAAAAAAGATTGCATCAGCACAAAATTCATTGGACGCTAGTCTATAGTGGTGAAAAGCTCATTTAATTGTCTAAACTCGACTACTCCTCGCAAGCGATAAATGCGGCTTTTACATTCGTCTACTGTGTTAAGCACGACCATGGACAAGACTGTCGTAGAATTAGGTTTACACATAGTCATAATGTAACCTGAACAGCCGTGCCACCAGAAAAATGAACGTCGCGGGTGTGTCAGAAAATTCATGCGACATAACCAATCATTTGTGCTTCGTACACCCACGATATTTTATTCGTTGAAGTTGAAGTTCAACCTCAGTACACCCTTAATTTATAAATCAAGAACCTAAGTGTTTATTAGTTTAAACCTCTAAGAGCCCTTGGGGTGTTTTGCACGTAGCTAGGAACCATAACTCATTTTTAATTCAGTTGCAAATTTATTTTTAAGGTATGAAGTCGTTCTTCTTCCCTCCAACTCGGACTGTCCTTCTCCCTCCACGTCGGGATTCACTTCCTCGTCGCACAAGCGTGTGTGTTGTGTTTGAGTGACTATTTGTGAACAGCGCCCTCTTACTCTTGGTCGCACTTGTTGGTCTTTCCAACGACACTCGATTTTGATTTGACGACGCTGCTGTTGAGCACGTCGCGCATTCCAGGCCAAGCCATACTCTTTTCCTTGCCCGAGTGACATGGAAAGAGTTGGGGTACAAATCGGTCCACCAGTACTGCAAGCTGTAGTGTTGATGGATGGCACTCGAGCGGATGCGAGAAGTCATCATGGAAGCTACAGTAATCAACTTGCTGCAGTTGTCTGCTCCGGATGACCAAAAGAGCGCAGTAGTCAGTAACATGCATAATGAGATTATGGAATCTCAGAAGCAGGTCGCAACCCCTGTTTCTTCGTACAAAACGATGTCTCTGAAAACTGAACGTGTCTTTGCACCGTGGTGGAGATACGAGCCTCACACACGATGGTTGGTCGAGTTGGATGCAGCAATCGCTGCAAGACAACTGCGAGACTCTTGCAGCAAGTGTTGTTCGCAGTGAACAACCTTGCGGGTCGTGCGAAGCGTTGGACGTATGGGAAGCGTTTAGCCGATCTTAACTACATTCCTCGCTTAAAAATACCTAAAATTCGAGCTTAAGAAGGCGTTTGAACTATCGCAGAGTAAATTCTGTGCCCGTGCCGAATTTTGAAGCTTCGTCGGCGAGCCAATTGACGTTTCAACGCTAGTCGTACCGTTCATGGTGGACCTGAATGATGGTCCAATCCGGAATTTAATAGTTTTGTAAAAATTCAAAGACGCTGGATGATGCCATCAACCGTGCGATGCAAGAAGAGTTCAGCATCAAGCAGGCCAAGTTCAATGGCTTCGCACCAAGGCAAGCGCGCCAGTCTGCCGGTACAAGTGATGGTCCAGAGTCAATGGACATCTCGTCTATTCCACGCCTGGAAATGAGCGTCCTCGCCGGGTCATATTTCTCGGAAGTGCAGAGTTTCTTTGCCGAGTCGGCAACAGACACAGTGTGCTCGTTCGGATGACCGCGGACGCTATAAAGATTGTTGGGTCGAACGCTCCCAAGAAAAAAAACGGAAACGACTAGTAGGGGCGGGGCTCCCTACTGGGCCCAAGAAGAGTACCGAATACACAGAATTCTGGCCCCAACGTGCATGATGCACATGTAGTTTTTATCAGTGATGGAAGTGTCATGCAAAGCGCGACTTTGATTGTCCAAGAAGTCTTTGTAGATGGCCCCGATAAATAACAACGAGCTTTAATTGACACTGGTGCGTCGAACAAGTTTGTTCGAGAGCGAGTTATGACTGGGCATGGTGTTAGCCTGCTCGATGCGAAAAGAGAGGTGATCATTCCTCTAGCGGATGGATCTAGAAAAAAGATGACAAAGCAAGTCCTTCGCTTGGCAGTGAAGTTTGAAGATATCCTAGGTGGAGATGAGTATGTCTTACTTGACCTTGATGATAAGCTTGATATCATCCTGGGCATGCCATGATTGAAGGGTCATCAGCCTAGCATTGCCTGGATGAATAACAAATCGTCGTCAACAAGTCGCGCAACGCTAAATCGAGCTGCATGACGACGAACGAGACAGTATGGGCATATGCATACTGTTACATCCGTTGAAGAAGTCACAGATGTCCCAGATGATATTGTTGTGTGCGACGCCCCCCCATGCTCACAGGACAAGCCCAACAAGACGATGGTAAAGACATCAACTGGAGGTGGAGCAGTAAATAAAGTCATGGTCGATGGTAGTATGAAGAATAGTGGAATCAGAGACAGAGATCCATCCTATGAGAAAAATAAGAAGGCCACCAAGAAGGGTTTTCCGAAAATTATTTTGCTTATCTCTGATCAAGGTGCAGGCAAAAATTGATGAAGGAAGTGCTACAAAACAAGACACTTCAAGCGAGTCCATGATTGTTGTGGCCTACAATAAAGAAGGTGACGTTGATGTTCTCCGTCACCTGAAGATTGAAAACTTTCCAAGTTCAGTCAAAATATTGTTTTACTTGCCATTGATGAGCACGAAGACGCTGAAGTGTAACCTGACGAAAGGCGAAATCCGGCATATGTGTGCAATTGTCGAAGAAAGTATCGACGATGACATCAATTATGCGGAAGTATTTGATGAGAAGACACGGAAGGAAAGTTTTTTTTAAGCGCAGTCATGAGACGCTTTAAGGACAAACTTTATGTATGGACTTGTCAAGGAATATGCTGATATATTCCTAGACAAGATGCCGGACGAATTGCCATCTGTCAGAGGCATTCGTCATGTGATTGACATACTTCCTGGTTTGAAGTATTGTATCACACGGCAGTGGCCGTTGCCAAAAGAACAAGTCATTGCGATTGACGAATTCTTTGCGCAGCGACAGAAGGCTGGTCATGTGCGTGAAAGTAAGTCTCCGTATGGTAGTCTATATTTCTCTGTGATGAAAGCCACAGATGGTTGGCGCACTGTTCACGCTTTCAATAAATTGAGCGATGCGACCATACCTGTCCAGACTCCGATTCCTCGCAAGGATATGACTCCTGATGGAATGTTTGGCAGTACTATATTCAGTGCGATCGATCTGAAAGATGGGTTTTGTCAGATACGAATGCGCGAAAGTGATACAGCACTAACTACAGTCAGTACCCCCAGTAGTATGCTGTGGAAATGATTAGTGATACCACGAGGTTCTGAAGAACGCTCCCGCGACTTTAAACAGAATGGTCACGAATCTTCTTCGTCAATTGAGGAAGTTTGCACCGAGTTACTTTGACGATATACTCGTTCATAGTAAGATAACGGTTGAGAAGTCTAATCTCGATTGTCGTCTTGATCATTTTCGTCAGGTCTTTCAAGTTATGTGAGAGAATAAACCCTACGCTAACCTTAAAATTTGCATTAGATCCCCGTTCTTGGCTGATTTATGGGCAAGAATGGCGTTCGTTTAGATCTGGAGACAGTCAAAGCTATCAAGGATTGGCCTGTGCCAAACAAGTGAAACAGCTGAGACAATGGACGGGCTTGTCCAACTATTTGCACAAATACACGCGCAACTATGCAGCGTTGATGCAGCGTTGATGCAGCGTTGATGCAGCCGCTAACAACCCTTAGAAGAACGCTGAGTGGGAATGATCTAAAGATCACCAGGCGGTATCTGCCGAAGTGAAAAAAAGTTTGAGAGAAGCTTCTTTTCTTGCGATTGCAAACCACAATAACTTTCTCATGTGGTCTGCGATGCGAGTGATTAAGCTATCGGTTATGCATTGATGCAACACGATGATGAGGGTCGAGAGCGAGTAGTTTCGTATCAGTCGCGACAACTCCGGCCTGCGGAACAGGATTATCTAGTTCATGACAAAAAGCTTCTAGCAATGAATTATGTTTGGTTAAGTTTTGTATGTACTCGCTTGGAGAGGAGCGCCTTACGATCTATACAGATCATGCCTTACTGCGTACGGCAGTAAAGACTCCTCATTTATCACAAAGAATGACTCGATGGTTTTTCTTCTTTGAGAAGTACAACTTTGTTGTACACTACGAGTCAGGCAAGACGAACATCTTAGCCGATGCGTTGTCAAGACGTCCGGACTATGATTCAAAGTTCAGAAGCGAAAACATGCTCAAGTTATGTCGACAATGCGAAGATGTTCAGACGGTCAGAATACAAGCTACGACTACAGTGCGCGAGGAAATTGTCGCAGGGTACAAATCTGATGAGGCATGTCAGGACTTGTTAAAGTATTTCAATAACCCTTCCGACAAAGCTTTGCAAGGTCTTCCGTCTCGCACAAAGTCGCGTGTTCACCGTTCTGGATTACACAACGGATTGTTGTACTATACGGGTACACAGCACGAGTTGTTGTTCCAAATGATGAAGATTCGAGTCATCGTCTCTTGTATGAGTACCACGACAGCCCTTCGGGTTGCCATCTCGAACGTGAGAAAACATTTCTCAGTCTTTCCCGGGGTTACAATTGACCACGCATGTATAAGTGGATGCGCAAGAATGTGAGAGCTCGTGAGATTTGCCAGAGAGCGAAGCCATCGGGTTCAAATCAGGCCCCACTTTGGTCGTTGGCAGTACCAACTGACAGCTTGAAGTCTGTGAGTTCCATAATCGGACTTCCGCGTGACACACATGGACGCAGTGGCATCCTTGTGATAGTAGACCGATTCAGCAAGATGGTTCATCTTGCGCTTGTTTCGGACAGGATCTTCGCCGAGAAGACAGCAAAGGTTTTCGATGTTTTCCATTTACATGGCCTTCGTGTTGAGGTCGTGTCTGACCGTGACACCCGTATTACGTCGAAATTTTTGGCGCTCACTATTTGGACAATTCGGAATCGAATTGTCAACAGCGGCACACCCTGAAACGGACGGTCAAACAGAGCGTGGCAATCGAGTCCTGGTAAACGTACTGCGTAGTTACGCTACGTAGTTTAAAGAGTGGAATGAATTTTTCACTCTTGCAGAGTTTGTGTTGAACAACTCCACGCATGTCTCGACAGTTCATTCGCCACTTTTTGTGAGCTATGGTATCATCTAGAGTACCTATGGGCGAGGTCTCTGCCTTATGAGGGGGGGGGCTATGGCTATAGAGCCAAAGTCAGACTTAAATACTGTCATAGAGTTAAAAGCAAATTTTGACTCAATGAGACCCCCAGACGCCATGACAAGTCGTGAAGAACACCCGTCGATGAGTTTATTGCGAAAAAACAATCCGTTGTTCGGTTTGGTCGAGACGCAACTGCAAAGCTCAGGATCTGCAAAAAGAACAAGCAGAAAAGAGCGGAAGGAAGAAGAAGAAGGTATATAAGGTCAATGATTTTGTAGTACTTTTCACGACAAATCTGCCTGAACATGCAGAGTCCAACTTGGGAAGCAGGAAGCTATTACCAAGATCCAAAGGACCCGTTCAAGGCGATGAAATGCAATGGTGATGCGTATACATCAGCCATCCCTTCACGCATGTGCCTACATCTTATACTTTATGTGGGTAGGCTAAAGTCGTATCTTCCGAGTAGATCTGGCGATCCTACTCTACCTTTGGAAGATGATCGAGCTGATCATGCAATTTCTCTATTTGTCCACCAAAAGCAACCATCTCTTCATCCTGAAAACTCTTCTCGGCGTAGAAGCGTTGAAAGACATCGAAGGATCGCTCCTTTACTAATTCCATCTCGTCCTTCCGAAGTCAAACAAGTTCATATTATACATGTTGAAACCGTACTGCAAAACGGGACTCCAAAGCCGAGCATTAGGTAAAACCATCGGTTAGCACGTCGAGGTTCGAATTCTGCTCTGCAGCAAGGCTCGAAAGGCTCTCGCAGCTAACTTCAAGCGCCGAGCAACGCTGCTGTAATGCCTCAATTTGCCCGCGATGAGCGCTCTTCCACTTCCAAAGTCGCTCAATGGTTTTCATGTTCAGCCCCATCTCCGCTACTAGACTCTCATGGAGGGCGTCATTGTGTGATTGAGACGGTTGTCAATCACGAGATCGATCAACTTGTCATCGTGGAAAGAAGCAGTTGAGCCATCAACGCTTCTATAGAGTTTGGTGGCGAGGCCATCCATCGAATTTGGATCGTGGGAACCTCGTCAGGCCTTAGAGTCTGATGTCTTCTGCATGGCCCGCAGCTACGAGAATCGGTTGTAGTGTTACTAGAGGCAACACTGCGACGACCAGAGCTTGGTTGTGCCCGGTCGTGACTGGGAGTGCTGCCAGCGCCGACTCACCGAGGCAGACGTTCCAGTTTCCTCTCGTTCTCAAGGCGAACAAATGTCCGCCAAGAGTCAAGCTTAGCTGCGATGGGCCGGATCGGATCATAACGGTTGTTGATCCGACGCCAACGAAAGAAGCGTTAAACCTCTTGTCTCCATTTTGGTTGAAAATAGAGGAAACCTAAAAAAGTTCTAGAAAGGTTCGTTACCTTTAGGCGAAGAACGCTCTTTCATGTTTGTGTTTTCACTAGTGAGCTGCTCCAAAAGGCCAGCAATACTTTTGAATTAAGAAGGGGATCATGTAATGAGCTACACTTTGCCATTACACGAACGTACCTTCTGTATATATTGTGGAAATTAATAAAAAAAGAAAATTACAGTATGGTGTTCACAAATGCATGCGCAATTTCTTATATAATGTCACAAACATTCCGTAAGAGACAGAATGCTGGTTCCTACATTGGGATCTGTACTGGTAACGACATCGACGTGTCTCTGTCTTCGGAACTGGGTTGCGTAAGCCAGTCTCTTCTGATACAATCCACGAGAGACGCGGTTCAAGCTTTTGAAGTTCAAGCTCCGCACACTCGAGATCTTTTATTCGTTGAAGATGACATTCAATCTCAGTACACCCTTAATTTATAAATCAAGAACCTAAGGTTTTGTTAGTTTAAACCTCCAGGAGCCCTTGGGGTGTTTTGCATGTAGCTACGTCCCACAACTCATTTTGAATTCAATTGCAAATTTATCTTTAAGGTATGAGTCGTTTTTCTTCCCTCCAAGTCGGGACTGTTCTTCTCCCTCCACATCGGAAAGCGCTTCCTCGTCGCACAAGCGTGTGTGTTGTGTTTGAGGGACTGTTTGCGAGCAGCGCCTTCTTCCAGAAACCGATATCCGACGTGGAGGGAGAAGGACGGTCCCGGCTTGGAGAAAGATGAACTACTCAAGCCCTTTTGGCGAATTTGCAGCTAAATTTTAATGAGTTATGGTTCCTAGCTACATGCAAAACACTCCAAGGGCTCCTAGAGTTCTCTAATAAAAGCTTAGGTTCCTGGTCTATAAAGCAAGGGTGTTATGAGGTTGAAGCTCAGCTTTAACTGATACAAGATTTTGGGTCCACTGAGCTTGAGCTTTAAAACGCTTGAACTTCAACATTCGTGACAAATATCCAGAAGAAGGGACTACCCACTTCGAAAGACAAGACACGTCGGTCTCGTCATCAGTACAGATCGTCAGATAGGACTAGCATTCTGTATCACACACAATTTGTGATGTCATGTATGTATGTGTATGCCTTTGGGATTGCCATACTATAATCTTCTTATATAATTCCCACAATGCATACAGAAGGTACCTCCATTTAGTGGCTAAGGGTTGCAATTACACCTTCCAATGGTTCACAAGGCCAGAATCGAGCCAGCGAAACAGGACTGCGCTTTTCTTGCGGTGGCAAGCTTAAATGTCATCTTATCACTTGAGCGCTTGATGCTCCAGAATGTGCGTTAATGATATATAGTGGCGATTGTACCAAGTGTTACGCTGACTTAATTAACTGCAATTTGGGTTTAAATCCGCTCACACGAGGAAAAATATGTAAATACGAGTTCTACATCAATATTAAGTATCAGAAATACTTGGTAAATCGCGATATACACAGCTTGTTGTTCAAACTTTCAATGTAAAAAGTCTACATAAACCTTTAAAACAATCCTACCAAGAAGCGATAAACTCCTCAGCTTTGTATGTTTTGAAAGATATAGCACCAATTGAACGCATTGATCGATGAAGCAATAGTACGTGTTTCCATGCGCAATTTATATATCCAGTACAAACTAATGCACACAACGGGAAAGGTCGAATTTCATGTACCTCAAGCCACGGACTCTTCCTCCCAGTCGTCATATTCATCGTAAACTTCATCTGATATCAATGCGGTGGTCAACTCAACTGCCTTATCATCCAACTTGCTAACATCTTCCTCCATCTGGAGTAGGCGTGGCGTTTGAAGCGGCGGCAACGAGCTCTCCGATGACAGGTCTGACAAAGTCGGTAGTCCCATCGAATCGTAGCTCTCTTCTTTTAACACCAAATGACTGTCGCCAATTGACGTCTTGAACACACCTCCAACTGCAGACGCATTGTCAAGTCCATATCCACTCGAATATTCTACTGCGTCGCGCAACTTTTTGTTTATTAAAAGCATTAATTCTCCTTCTAACTGATCGTTCGCTTCATTTTCGTTATGTCGCTCTCTCCAGCATAGTGCCTTCCAGTAATGCGGCATCTCTAATGTATTATCACAAGTCTGTATGCAAAAGTACATATAAGTCCGCCAACGAGTAGCCAAAATTGAGCTTTCAATACGTACATGGGCCTGAGGGAGCATTTGCAGATATCTCACGTGATCATTCGACGAAGTCGCTATAAATGGCATCTCAATCCTCAAAAACTATTCAGCGCGATTGGAGGTTAGAAAAGCAAAATAAACAGCAAGAATTTGAGTTCGTCAGTCTACCTCAGTTCCTGCAAGAGGTAGTGTATCGACCCCCGTCACAAACTTTATGAATTTTCGCTTTAGCGTCGGCTCAAAACTATTGACTGTGTGCCAAAAAGCATTCATCATAGGCGGACAGTGGGATAAATCATTGTCAGTGGCGATCCGAAAGATATCATTAATAACAAAATCTTCGTTAGGATTAAAACGACTTCCACAAACGCAATCTGACAAATCTGTCTCAGTAATCCCCAGACAATTTAGCTGGTCACGATCAATAACTCGATCGAACCCACTACGCACGAATTGCAATTGCCATCCAATTTCGGACGTTGGGCCAAATTTTCTTTCCAGTACAGTGCAGATATAATCCTCCGCGCTCAAATTATCTTCATAACCTTCGAGCTTCAACAAATCGGCAAAATTTGACGGCTTCATATTTCTTACTCCGGATAATGATTGAAATAATTGCGGATCAAAATTTTTTAACTCTTCTAGTGAAACACAATGCTGCGAGTTTAGCAGTAAGCGAAAGAACAGAGGGTGTATCCTTAATTGAATCGAGCAAAAATGCGTAACTGCACAAGCAAGAAACCATCCTAAAAAGACGAGTGCGTCTTGACTTTCAGGTGAGTTCCGTGTGTTTTCATTCAGCCAGTAACTCTCGGATCCTCGGACATACTCAAACAAAGCAATACAGGGCTGCGAGATTATCAGCTGAGTTGCCATCAAAGAATAGGATGACCCAACTCGATCGAGTAAAAAGTCTCCACCTCCGACGCACTTATTAACAACTCTACACACTGTATCCCCTTCACTCGTCTTCCATTCGAGTTTAATGCCTGGATAAATATCATCAGAAGCTCCAGGAATTGTCACTACATTCTCATGTGTAGTAATCTTAATCGAATCTGCTTCCGCTAGGACTTTACTCGCAGGGAGAATTTTCCATTTAGATGCTAATTGAGCACCGACAAGTGTGAACCATTCCTTCAAAGGACCTTTTCCTTCTCCTTCTTCAACATTAAATCCATTTACGACCTTGTCACCAAATGAACATTTAAAATAAGGAAAAATCGATATGTTTGGGTTATCACTCTCCAACACAAGATGGTGACGCCAAACATACTCGACACTCGATTGTAATATATCCTCTCGATCACAAATGACAGTTAATCTGGGAAAGACATAGTTAGCGTCGTCATTTAGACAGTCTTGGGTTGGGGCACTGCATATATTCACTACAAGTAGAAGGGTCTTGCACAATGGATCTAACATGACGTAAAGACAGTCGGTGGGTAGTCCCATTGCTACCAGGATCTTACTCACTGCATCCCAATTTTTGTTCAGTCGGTCTCGCGGCTCATTAACCACATAAGGGTAAAACACCTTCAAGAGCTGGCTGAGCTCGGACGAAACAGAAGATTGACTCACTTGTGAAGCTTTTGTGGTATTGTCTGAAGAATTTAGGAAAATAATAAGCGTCGTGGAAATCTTAACATAGTCCCACGTCGAATGATGAAATTCTGTGCGGGCAGCTTCCGCTATTTTTATGACTTCCTCAAACTCAATCTCGGACACTAAGGAGGTTTTCAAACCAAGCAATTTTTGAATGTTATCCGCGAGAACGGCGCAGATATCACCAAGAACAACATGGCATTCGTTGATAAGATGCGTAGCCAGATCAAGATCTTGAGCTACATCACTGCAAAGCAGTTTTATTAAATGTGTATCCGGGACAGAAAAGCCGTACTGATCCAGCATCGAGAGAATAGACCCTTCCATACATTCACTAATGGATGAGTGGCGCCGGAGACATTCTCTCAAAACTGAAGTGTTTTGCCATGCCAGACAACTCTGCAAGTTTACCTGGATAGGACGATTTTCATCCTCAAGAAATGACCATCGCTTTAATTCGTGTTCCAACAATTTCGACATTTTCTGAAAGTTTTCTATAAGTATTTGTTTACCCTCACAGTCTGTCGAGCGCTTTGCTTGCTGTAGATCCGGCGTACCTGAATTACAAGAATTTACCGGCTTATCTTCAAATTCATGGTCAACAGCAAGTAATGTAAGTTGGTCACTAGAGTTACAGTTGATTGCAATCTCGCTAGCAGTTTCGTCAAAGCTATCAGCGCATTCCGAGCCTCCTTCATCGTTTGTTTGTCGATTGAATCGATTTTCAACCGATTCCGACGTCACACCGGTTTCAATTAAAATATCTTGTGTTTGTTGTACATCAGCACTAAGTTTCTTCTTGTCCGTCTTAAAATCGAAATCTGTCGAATCGGCATGTAAATAATTGACATGCTCCGGTAGGTCAAAACTTGATCTTGACCGAGAGAAGCACTTTTCGGCGCTGACACTAGCTTCATTCACCATACCAAACATTTCGAACTCTGTCTTTTGCAGACATTCGTCTGCGAAAGTTTTGGTATTAAAATTGTGCAAATCGGGTGCGGGAGGTCCTAAAATTGGTTGTGATTCGGGCATTTCATTTAGATTAAGGCCGCTGTCGCAAATCTCGCCGTCGAAATAATGATCAGTATTCTCAAATTGGTTCCTTGTTCGGCAGCTAGCGTCGTCATTCACCAAAGCACCAAAAGTGTGCATGGCTCCATTTTTCGTTACCCGCTTATCCTCAACAATATCATTTTCGGTAATGCTTAGACCACTCGCATGACTGCGCACATCCGTCTTGCTTGGTTCTCCTTCACTCGTCTTGTCATGGTCTCCACGCTCAAGTCGACTTTTATTTGTCAAGTTGCTGCGTCCTTGAGTCAAATCAACATGACGTAAATCAAGTTCATCAGTGAAGTCCAAAATCTCATCAGGCAAGTAAACAAGTCCTGCAGCGGACTTACGGCCATTGTTTCCCAGCAATTGCTCAGTCTTATGATCACTCTTCAGCATCATGGCCTGCTGTTCTGTATTATTCTTCTTGTCATGAATACCTTGCAGTCCAGTCATAAAGTATGTTAGATGATTGACATTCGACTCTGTGCGCTCAGTCTCGTAGCAATGAGTATTTTGCATCTGCCCACGAAGGGCAAGTAGTTCTATCGGAGTCGGATCTTTGGCAAACTGGACCATTTCTATAATGATGGAGTGGGCAGCAAGCACGCGACCCAGCCTCTCTTTTGGCTTAATAAGCAATGGGTTGTGTTGCCTAAAACAGTCCAGATTTATTCCCCTTGCCTGTAACGCTGCTTCTGCAGAATCTAAATCATTATACATTTTCAAAAAATAGTTTCTACCACGCCACAAAAATGGTGGTGGATATCTAAAGGTACAGCAAGCAGATAATGAGTTTTACACCAGAACCGACAGCATCTCTTATGTACTTACGCTGACTGTGCTCCGACTTCAAGCATCCACTCGACTAACGCCTCGACACAAATTATGCCAGTAAGTTGCAAATCTGTCGCGAGTTGCTGTGCAGTTCTCACAGCTTCACGAGAATTTGTCACAAAATTGGTGTTACATCTTGACCTATTTAATCGTGTGGATGCGAGATTAATCCCTCCCTTCGATAGCATTTGTTGCTGACTAGCATTATGTGTTAACGACGGGTCGGTATGTCTTGAAGGTGGCTTCACGACAGGCGTGCAAAGAATAAGAGCATTTAGCTGATATAGCAGAGTTTCACGAGAGTCGATGGCTTTTAAGACATTAAAACGCAGCTTTTCTTCTTTGGTTTGTTCAACTTTCTGTCAGCGATTCAGTACTGTTAGTAAATGCTTTTGCGTAACAATCCAACGAGGGCAAAAACGTACTGTCGATGGCTTTAACGAGTTCACAAGAGGAAGCAACTTCCCACTCGACAGCTTTTTAGACTCAAAATTGCGCTTTCCCCCGACTTTACCTAATATTAGATGAATAAAAGACAACAAGTCGTCAACCTAACAGAGGAGCTGCTCCGTACATTGCTGTGCCCTTTCATTTCGTGTTGACGGCCCCTTCGCTGGTGGCGTTGAAGGAATGCTTAGCTTTGATGAAGAAGCCGGCATATGCGTCTTATTGCATGTAGACTGTTGATCGATTGCAAAGCGGTCATTCCATCCTTGCTCTCGACGAAATATTTCTTCCTCCGACAGAAATATCAGCCGACGATGGCCTCGAAAAGGGTGTAACGACTTGCCTCCTCGAAGACATAATGGTTGTCGTTGACCCCGCAAGTTCTTCACCACAGGTTTCCGCTTAGCTGCAGCCATGACTTTGTTCTTGATCAGGTTCGCCCATTGTGAGTTTCACGGAAATAGCCACGAAACTGCTAATTATGCTGTGATGGTCTTTAAGGTCAATCACTACAAAATTCCAACACTAATTCATCTATTCTCTATGTAATGCTGTGGGCCTTCTGCCGTTTGATGTCAGCTTTGATTGCAGTCTTGCACTCCTGTAGAGTCTTTAACTCTTTATCAATCACAGCAAGCTGACTTAAATCACTCACTATCCCTCGTTTACGTCTTAACTTCCGCTCTCGCTCTCGAAGCAATACAAGCAATGAAAACTCTGAAGATCTTGTTGAAGTTGTATCCTCTGAATTATATACTTCGGATGTCTCGTGAAAGTTTGAGCCACTTACATAGAGACCACCAGTGCAAAGCAGTGTTAGCCATAAACCAGTCGCGTGGTAGGCTCGAAATGACAGCAAATGCATTTTAAGCGTCGATTTTAATTGCTTAACTACATTTCCCTGCTGGTTTGAGCATGATTCGCATTGAGGGTAGAAGCGAAATGTCGTCTTTTGCCCCAGAAACTTTCGAAAAAATTGATTATCTGTGCGACTGCCCAATCTACCATGTAACAAATCAGTCAGAATAAAGAAATGCGCATACAATGTCTTGACAACTTACAATTTAGGCGGCATGTGGTCTGCGTGATACCGTACGCCCTGCTTAACGCCGCATGTATGACATCCGTAAAGTCGACCAAACTCCTGTATAATGCCCCTTTCCACACTTGTAGCGTATTCGACCGTGGCTGGTAATGAGGCCTTCTTAAGATGAAAAGCTCCAAGGTTGGCGAAGGGCGATGGCGCCAGTGCGCTCATGCGGCCACCCAGTATTTTAAAGCATAGAACTCCCATAGCCATGTACACTGGATACGGAGCATGTGCAAGATTTCCCCAACGCTCCAGCACTCTGCTATGCACAAGTCTCAAAGCCGTCGGTGGTTGGAGGTGGCGCTTTCCAAGCACGAGCCAGCTCTGCTCTTTGGTACTTCGACTTCGTGCAGCTATTTCCTGATAGACATCGCGTGGAATAGATGCAAAATGCAGTGCCAAGACGGAAGATGAAGCTACCGCAGCGGTGCCCAGAGCTTGAGGAAGGAAAAAGCCAGAGGCCGAGCCAATATGCAGCAGCTTTTGCGCCACCTGCGCCACAGAAATGCCACATAGAAAAATTGCGCCGCCTGTCGCTGCATCTAAAACGTGAGCTGTCAGTGCTTCATAAACTGAAATTGACTGAGCACTAGTGAAGTGCCGGCGCAGTTGCTGAACGGTAGCATCAACCCACGAATCCATGCTTAAATAACCTAAGAAGTTAAATTAATAGAGTCAATCACCAAAATTTGAACTACGTATTGTAACATGAACGAGTCGAATGTCGACGTTTCGCGCAACCGTCGTGGATCGCTGGCCTCACAGATGAAGGAAATGAATATCAATGACGCTTTTGAGCGGAACATCAAGCATAATAGTCCGCAGGTGAGTATGTGTCGCTCCATATTGTGCAAGCCTATGAGGAAGCGAACTCTCGAGGACATTTACGTGGTAATTTTCGGTCCAAGGCGACTTAACGAGTCGTAGCTAATCATATTTTATTGCAGCTCAAGACTTTGCTTGCCTCGTCTAAACTACTTAGATTTTTCGCCAATTTGGACGCATGTTCGTTTGTTACTGAATAAACGATAATAATGCGGGACTTGATTTAATCTATTGTTTTTATCGATGTCTTGGTAACATGTAGTTAAGGTGGGATCTGTTGTTTTGTCTTAAGGATTGTCTTGTTGTGATCCTGTTGAGGATGCTTTGTAGCTAGATCGACTATATCAGTCGCTTGAATTTATTGCGTATGCTGAAAAGGGAACTTTTGTTTTTCACGAGGTTCAGTAGCATCGATGTATATCTCGATGTCTGCGCTGATCTTATAGTCTTAATTGTGTTTATTTGAAGGGCGATGATGGAGATAACTTTTTTCTTGTCTTTTCTGGCCAAGGCATGAAATTCATCTTATTTGGATATGAAGGTTCTTTTTCTGATTGTTGCTATCAACGTAGTGGAAGTGATGAAAAAGGATATGGTCAATTCAGCACAACTGAATCATCTTGCTTACATGATTCCGGGAGATACCTTTGGAGAGAAAGCATTAATGTCCACAACTGATGTACGCACTGGTAAGCCTCAAGCCATCGTTACCTAAACAACGACCCTTACTATTTGTTTAGCATCTGTAATTACATCAAGCGAATCTACAGAACTTGTTGTGATCAATCGTGAGGTGTTCAGCGATCTACTTAAAGAGTCACATAATTCGAGTATTCCGCATACGCTCGAGGTAGCCAAGAGATTTCGCAGTAATAAAGATCTTGTACGAAACATATTTATGAGAAGCGCTGCACAGCGATCCGACAAAGAATTGAAAATTGCGGTCGAGTACTTGAACAGCGTCAAATTTTTCTCGCGATTTTCTTTTGAAGTCCGAAAGCAGCTTTGCAAGGTCTTGCATCTCATTAGTGCTGTCACAAACACCGTAATATTTTCTGAAGGTCAAGTAGGGCGACATTTTTATATTATCTTCACCGGTTGTACGGACGTATCTGTGCATACAAAAAATCGTTTTGATGAAACGAAAGAGATAGTTGTCTCAAGGCTTGGAGAAGGTGATTACTTTGGCGAGCTGGCGCTCTCCCAGGTTGATGGTATCCGCCGTGCCACAGTAGTGTGCACTGAGTTTTGTGAGCTGCTTATCCTAGGCCGTGACGATTACGAGCCCTTAATTCAAAAGTACCAAAACGAATATCATGCACAATACGCACAAATGCTTAAAAGAAACCCATACTTTAGAGGTTCCGAGTGGGATGACATTACCATTGAGGGCATGTGCTCGGTCATGACTGAAAAATATATTCCGTGTAATGGTGAAATTTGTAAGCAGGTAAGGTCAATGATGATCTCAACAGCGTCCTTCGATCACCGCTGTAACTTATTGTTTACAGGGATCACGTGCTAGTGAGCTATTCATTGTTAGAAGAGGAGAATGCAGACTCATTCATGAAGGAAAAAACCCTGTTACAAATGCCCGACAAATCTATGAGCTAGGTAGATTTGGTCCTAATTCTGTTCTCGGCTGCGCGGAGTAAGGTTGCTTCATCAAGTAGGCATACCCTCTGATGACTGCACTCACTTTTGCTGTCACTCTTAGGGCGTCAGCCGGAAAATTTAATGACATTTTCGTTCGTGAGT